CAACAGTAAAGTGTTCCCACCAGGTCAACAGTTTGTTATAAGGAATGTGAGTCGATACGATGGAGGTACATACATCTGCACAGCAAAGAACGGACTGGGGCTTCCTGATACTAAAGCAGCGGTGCTAAGTGTTCTACGTGAGTAAAAACATTTGACATTATGTGAGAATTAGGATTGTCTTCAGTAACCAACCAATTTGATTGACTTGCAGACCCGGTTGTTATTATATTCTGCAGATAAACCATACGACACCAAGCTTGGGGCATCAGTTCCAGACAATATTGCAGTATTAAACTCATCTGTAATAATAACTTGTAGAGCAAAAGCCAACCCACCGGTCATAACTTATAATATTTACCACAATGGCATCCTAGTGTCCAATGCATCTAGTGGAATTTACAACATCACACACGCTCTGACTGAAGATAATGGATCATATGTCTGTATACCTTACAACGAGTTTGGTGAAGGCGAAAAGGCAGCTTTGAACGTGTCTTTTGTGGGTATGTAATTGTGTAAGACTCTCAGCCATGAATCCTTCTTATTTTTTCCAAAGATTTTTGGTGGTTTTCATTGTGTACTTGATTTAGTTCATCATTGTCATCGTCATCTTTTATTTGCCTTATTTGCACAATACAAAAAATTTATTTACAGCGGTTATAGCTAGAAGGCGAGGAGACCCAGGAAGCCACCGAGCTTATGGGAGAGCCACCTCACTTACATTAATAAATAAAGAAAAGAAAAAGTGCTGCGAATTTGCGGCTAGGCCAATTCAGTGATTATTTAAGTAAAAACTCTTGCATCTTCGTCTTAAAACTAGGAAGGTTTGACGAACGAGTGACTGAAACAGGAAGAGAGTTCCAAATTTTAGGATCTTGGTAGAGAATTGTAAATTGCTTGAGATTTGTACGGCACAAATGCATTAGATAATTAATGGCTGTTCTGGTACCATAGTTCTGAATTTGGCTATTCGTTACAAAAAGATTGAGAAGCAATGGAGGCAATAAGTCATTTCTATAATAAAACATGAATTTGGCGATTTCAAACGTATTGACCTGGGAAATAACTAAAATTCCTAGTTTGGAGAATAAAGGAGCGGAATGGGCTCGATAGTCTGAGTTGGTGATAGCCCGCACAGCTCGCTTTTGCAAGTAATAAATTCTATTTAAGTTAGATATGTATGTGGACGACCAGGCGCAGTTACAGTAGACGATGTAAGGATAAATTAAGGTGTAGTACAAAGTGAGTTTGGTTGTAGAGGATAGGAAAAAGCGAGACCTGAATATAATACCTATTGATTTAGCGATTTGTAGATACATAGTTGATATGATGTTTCCAGGTGAGATGATCATCAATATAGACCCCAAGGAATTTAGTTATGTTAGATTGTTGAAGGGGTTTATCTCCAAAGGAGAGAGAAATGCTGGAGTTAAATTTCTTCTGTCTGGGTTTAAAAATTACGTAGTTAGTTTTCTTTATATTAGTTACAACTTGGTTGCGCTCTATTAGCGGAGGAATCTCCCTCTGCAAGATATTTTCAGATTCATAACGTTCTTCAAGAGCAGAAGGTAATGATGATATGACCAATATTACTGGGGACAGTAATCTTCAAGAATGATATTAATTTTGAACAGTCCGATCGACAAAGCTAATACTTAGAAATAGTCCATACACAGAAAGATAACTTGTGTTTGGCTGGTTGTACTTGACAGGACCCTGTGGTGTTAAACGTGTGCATCATACCTGGTCGCCTCAGATTGTGGGTGGAGCTTATGCTAAACCAGGTGAGTGGCCATGGCAGATCCAGCTGGGATACTTTGACAACACCGAAAGTATCCCTCATCTTTGTGGTGGCTCCATCTTGGATCACTATTGGATTGTTACGGCAGCACACTGTGTGAAAAGTGAATTTGGTAAAAAAGTCCCCGCCAACTTTAATGTCACTGCTGGTAAGTCATGTTTTGTTGGTGCCGTTTTCATCCATTCGGTAGAACTTAGCCATTGACCCGCCTCAAAATTGCAATCTCTTGTTATTTTATAATAGAAAGCTTGGTATTTTCATTAAAGCCGAGATACAGTTATGTCGCAGTGTACTTACAGTGATAATATAGCTTCCATTGGTCTAGTATTATTACGTATGTACGGTAATAACGTCAGTTTTGTTGACATGATTAACGAAGACAGTTATGACGACGAAATTTTATGGCTGAACCATACCTCCTCTGTACGTTTAGTCCGTATAAGAATGTAATAAAATATTGCATACAAGATTCTCAAAGGATCGAAGTTTTGTATTAGGATGGGTTTGGGGTGAGTAAGGTACAGGAGGGGATTCTTAACATGCCTTATGCCTTTTGAAAATTTCCATTGAGGAGGTTCTAGTTTACATGCTCATAGGTATGACTGCTGGACTGTTTCCTTTCATCGTCAGGTGAACTCCACAGAGGGGTCAGTGAAGGAAGAGAGCAAACTGTTCCTGTAAAGAAGATAATTTTACACCAAAACTTCGACCAGAAAACCTTACGAAATGATATTGCTTTGATGAAGCTCCAAAGACCAATCTTCTTTGATGCGCATGTGTCACCAATATGCCTTCCAGACTTTGATTTTGACGACGGTACTAAGTGTTACGTCACTGGCTGGGGTCGTTCTGGACCTCTTAGTTCGACGCCAGACATTCTTCAGGAGACTTCAATTCCTCTTGTAGCTCACAGAGTTTGTCAACTGTATTACAAACAGAAAAGAGTTAACAATGTGACTTCAGACATGCGCTGTGCTGGGACCCTGGGTCAGAGTCGAGGCACATGTAAAGGTGACAGTGGCGGACCGCTGGCCTGTGAGAGAGACGACCGCTGGTATTTGATGGGTGTTACAAGTTGGGCAAATGAAGGCTGTATGCATAACGGTGATCTAGGTGTATTTTCAGATGTTTTGTACTTTAGGAGCTGGATTGAAGAAGTCATGAAGAACAATACAAAGACAGCAGAGTAGAGCGGGTTGCATAAGAACGTTGGATTTAAGTTACAGAAATAACACGAGTGGATGAGAGGACAGATAAAAGTTTTCAAGGTTCTAGTCATTTCATATTCAAATGAATGCTATGTTTTCAGAAAATTATCACAGAATTTCAATTATATTTGGAACTCTCTTGAATATTTTTTAACAAAGCTGTGGTAGCATTTCATATGAGAGTCAGAAAACAGATTCTTTGGTGGTAAAAACTCGAACAATGATTTGCTGTGATGATCCTCGGAACATTTTAATATACAGGAGAACTTGAACTAATTTTTAGCGCCAGCTTTTATTTGGGATGCATGCCTTTTTTACATAGATATATTAAAGCAGCATGTGTTTGTAAATATACTTTTATAAATTTTTCCATGCAACAGTCAGAACGAAATGATCAAAATTAAGGAAAATATATCGTAATAAAAGTTTTTTTAAAGAAATAAATATGAACTGTTTTTACGACACAGTGTGGGATTAATTATCGACTATGAGGTGCTGTGCGGAATGGTACCTGTATAAGGTGATTTCTTTTCTCGATCGATTCTCTCGGCTGCAGAGTTCAGACGTTCAATAAGCCCAAATTCAGATAACCATTTTTCGGTTCAAGTTGAGTGTTAAGAGGTTAGGGTTATTGTTAGAGTTTGAGGCTGGCTTAAGGGTTAGGGTTACGACTCCACAAAAAAAAATGCACGCGTTGGCATACCTTTTTGGTTGTTGTGGTTTGTAATCTATACGTTGGAGATTCAACCGCAGCAACATAAGTTCATACGTTCCAAGAGGTCTGTTGTATCCTTGGTTTAGTATGAGAGGGATACGTTTCTAAAGAAACTGTGGTACTGCGTCAGTAGGGGAGTACAACAAGATAATTTAATTTTATCAACTGAATTGATCATCTAAATTAGCCACCGTAAAGAGTGTTAATGCTGACGTTTCGAGCGTTAGCCCTTCGTTAGAGGGAATGGCGAATCGTTCTGACGAAGGGCTAACGCCCGAAACAGTTTTTATACTCTTTACGTCGGCTCATTTACATTATCAACTCAGTTGATAAATATTAAATGATCTAAAGATCCATACATGCTTCTAGGCAGGTATAACGTTTGGTGTCGTAGAGACTATAATTCTATGTGCAGCAGACTATTTGCCGAACGCCTCTCGCGTATCGTTGTCACATGATTATTTTGCTTTTATACTGATTGGAAGTTGTATCATGTCGTTTTACTGCTATGAATTTTTGCTTAAAATAGAATGATGTAGTTATCTTCTAGACCAACGTCGGCTTTTTATCATCCTATATCCAAGCGAGCACATGGTGAATGATTGCCTATGCATTGTCTTGTTAAACAAAAGCCAAGGAAATACGCTCCATCTACGACGAATGATGCAAAAAAACTCTTCGGTAAAATAGGCAACAGGTTCTCAGATTAGGTGCAGTTAAGTAACTCTTTAAACAGTTATTACGTCTAACAGGTTTGGGCTTTTCCGACTTTTATGGGAGTAGGGAATTATTCAAAGCAGTAGAAGGCGTAATGCGCTCCTTTTTATCCAAAAACGTATTTACCGTTAGATTCCAAAGACAAGTTTTTTCCTTAACATACGTTCCCCAAAAAATTAGGAAAATCCTAATTTAGTTAGAAAATCAGTTTAGTTTCACTTTTTCAGTTTTGCCGGATACACTTTTATTGTCAGACTGTTGTTGGGCTGCGTCTTTTCTGTTTCTTTGATCTGTTTCAGTAAGATATTTGGCTGACAGAGAATCGCGGAAGGCAATCAATATCCTCCAAAATGGTTCGGTCGCCTGGTTCTGATCGTTGAAATTCCTTAATCAAAAAGAATAACATTTGAAGAAGGTTCTTTCCGGGGTTTTAGGTACATCGCTACATTAGATCTCAGTAATATTGAATCTGCTAGATATCTATCAGAGAGCTGGGAGAAACCACAACTTCTCTGGGGGAAAAAGTAAAAGGAACTTGTCTCATGACAGTCAAGGAACATCAAGTTTTAAACACTTAACTTTAATTATTCATTTTCTTTCTTTAAGCCGGTAAACCCTTACAAGTACAAGGTTATCCAATACTCTCATTTGCATTAGAACAAAGTGGAAATAAATTGTTTAAATAAATAAATAAATATATCGAGATTTTCTATTTACACTTTAATGTCAGGCCTATGGATCCTGACCATCCCCTGGAAACGACGGATGGTACACTTTCATTAATAGATGAAAACTAACAAAACTATTTTATCAAAATACTATGATTGTTTCATCTATATTGTTTCATTATAGAATTATAAAAATACAGGTAGCTATATGAAAATTTTCGTTCATTTGCAGTTGTATCTGTGTAAAACAAAAGAAAAAACTGCGTCGTCCAAACGCCTAGCGTTGAAAAGTAACTATTTTCGTCTTCCTTTATACCATGTAATAACACCCATAGAATGACACAATTTTATCAAAGACACATCTATTAGTGGTTACGTTCCATCTATGTTTTTCTGTTCAACGCCCTCTCATGGGCACTCTTGAAGAACGAGCAGTAAACTCAGGGAGCGGTGCATGGGGTGATTTTGAAACATGGCAACATGGCTTATTTGAGATGCACTTAGTTAGATTTTGTAGCTGTTTAGGTTCGCTAATGAACAGGAACCTCAGCAAAACAATGGAGAGGAGAGACCTGGCTGTTGTGACTCTTAATTTATAAGTAAAACTGCGAAAACAACTTCAAAAAGTCATGACACAAATAAGCCTGGAAAAGGTCGTGAGGTGCCCCTACAAAGCGTCATGTTTAATCAATGACACCTTTCTTAAAAAAGTCGTAAACTGCTCGCACTCGATTAATTTTTTTAGTACTTAACCCTCTGTAGAAAAACAAAATCTATTGCGTCCTAAACAGCTGTCTTGGTATTGTTTCTCATGACTTCTTCAATCCAAGGTCTGAAATGAAGAGTATCGGAAAATACTCCTGGGTCACCGTTGTGCATACAGCCTTCGTTTGTCCAACTTGTAACACCCATTAAATACCAGCGGCCGTCTCTTTCACAGGCTAGCGGCCCACCACTGTCCCCTCGACACGTGCCTCGACTCTGACCCAGAGTTCCTGCGCAGCGCATGTCCGGTGTCACATTTTGTATACCAACGTAATGGTTTTTGCAGACCGTGTGGTTCATCAGTGGTACAGTGGTTTCTTGAAGAATGTCTGATGGAGAACCCAAAGGTCCCAGATATCCCCACCCAGTAACATAACAAGAGGTACCGACATCAAAATCAAAATCTGGGAGGCAGATCGGTGACACGTGAGGACCAAACAGAATGGGTTGTTGCATTTTTATCAGAGCGATGTCGTTTTGTAGGTCAATATCGTCAAAGTTCTCGTGTAAAAATATCTTTTCTACTGGAATGTTCTGTTCACTTCCTTCATTGATACCCCTGTGAAGTTCTCCTGAAGATTTAAAAACATCCCGTGAGTGAAAGAACATTGAATACAATTTGAAATATTCAAACTAAACCAGAGGGAGCATTCGCAGCACCTCTTGAGTAATCTAAGTGACTTGAATGCTTACCAACAGTGACATTAAAATTGGCTGGGGGTTTTTCTTGAAGCTCACGTTTCAGACAGTGAGCTGCAGTGACAATCCAGTAATGATCCAAGATGGAACCACCGCAAAGATGAGGGATGCTTTCGGTGTTATCAGAGTATCCTAGCTGTACCTGCCACGGCCATTCCCCAAGTTTAGCGTAAGCTCCAGCCACAATCTGAGGCGACCAGGTATGATGTACTCGTTTAGCACCACACGGTCCTGTTTTACAAAAGAGACAAAATGAAACAACACCGAAAAAGCCGTTTACAGACTGAGGAAACTTTCCGATATTTAGCAACTAACCTAGTGGTGCGAAAAGTTTCCTTTAGAGCCAAAGTGTCCCATAATGCAATTCTTCATTTTATTTTTTAAATCTTCTTTTTCTCATGATAGATTGGCTTAAAAATCTGTCAGCTACTACTAGATGTTAAATAGTAAAAAAAATTACACACCTGTAAAGGTCACGTTTAAAGTTGCCCTTTCGCCTTCACCAAACTCGTTGTAAGGTATACAGACGTAAGATCCATTATGTTCAGCCAGGGTGTGTGTGATGTTGAGAACGCCGCTGGAAGTATTGGACACAAGGATGCTATCGTGGTAAATTTTATACGATGTAACCGGTGGGTTGGCTTTGGCAGTGCAATTCAAGATCAGTGATGAGTTGATTATTGCCACATTATCTGGAATTGATGCCTCCAGTCTTGTGTTGTATGGTTTATCTGTAAAAAAGAGAAAAAAATTCAACCGCAGTGAGTACGACTCAAACATGTGATAACATTATTATTGACACCGCCTACTCTAAGGCTGTATTCATTGGTATTCATATTGAGTAGTATGGTACAGTGAAACCCTGTTATAAAGGGGCTTGTGATAGTGAGGTCCCGCGTTTCAGTTGCACTTTATTTAAAGAGGATAGCATCCCATAGAGCTCCAAACTATGTTAACTTAGATCTAGATCGTAGCCTGAGCTAGAGAACTAACTGAATATAAATTGATGTATCCCATATCAAATAACAGGTTTGTACTTACACAGCACATTCAAAACAGCTCCTGCAGTATCAGGAAGCCCAAGTCCATTATGAGCTGTGCAGATGTACGTTCCTCCGTCGTATCGACTCACATTTTTTATAACAAGCTGTTCGCCTGATTGATATACTTTACTGTTGTCTCCGAGCTTACTCCATGAGATCATGGTATGGAGATGGTCATATGGAGCATATGAAGTGGCATTACAGAAAAAAGACACACTTGTGCTTTCGTTGGCGGTTATATTTCGTGGAGAATAAATAATGGAGAACGCACCTGAAGAAAAAAAATTAATTAAATTGGATTATATCTTTCTTTAAGAATAATCAAGTCTTATGAAGCTCAATCCTGTTTTCAGTTTTCTCGCATTGCCATGAGACCGGAAGGCCCTGAAGACACCCTGAATGGAAAGTGATTCTAATTCATTTGACGATTACTCACCGAAGACTAAAACCTGGATAGTGCCGTTGAAACCGGAGCCAAGAGTGTTAAGTGGTACACATAAGTAGGTTCCCGCATCAAAATATCTGGCCTTCTGAATGACATATACTCCACTGAGACTCGTTCTGAGGTAGATACCATCGCGATAAAACTGATACTGACTAGGAGGGGGATTGGCATCAGTTATGCACGTCAATGCAATGCGACCATTTCCAACGACTACTCCATTTAGTCTGTCGGTGGTTAGTCTTGTCGATGAAGGATGATCTTGAAAAGAAGGTAAAATTTTAGAACAACAGGAGAGGCATTTATTTTATTTGATGTAAAATGCTCTCAAAAAGTAGACTGTTTTTAACTCTATTGTCTGAACATCACGAAGGAAATGATTGTGCTGAGTCTCGGGGCTCCAGAGCATGGAGCCACTTTCAATACACCTTCCATTCTTAGCTGTTATGCAAGCCATTCGCCAGCACTGGATTAAAAGTCTTTAAAATAATATGTAAATACTTTTTGATAATCCTCGGATAAAAAGGAGGACTGCCACGGGAGGGAGGTGTCCTGGAAAAGACACATGGACACACAATCCATAGACCTCTGAGAAGAACCAAAAGCCAAGTATTTAAACGTTTACTGGTTGAAATCAGCAGCGATAAATTTGAGATCAGTGCATTTTGGTCACTCAGTTCTGTCCCTGTTAACGACTTTTATATAGGATTCTGCAAACTTGTATGGCAGTAATCCCAGAATCATTATACGTGTGATAAAAAATATTACATTCTACAATTTCAAGATTCCAGAATATTCTTAACTTACAAAGCACGTTCAAATATGCCGATTTAGAGACGGGACTTCGCACTCCGTTATCAGCAACGCATCTGTATTCACCCCGATGTGATCTGTCAGCAGATAAGATTACTAGAGTATTTCCGGATGCCACTATTTTTCCATCTCTTTCTCTTATCCAGGACAGCCGTGGAGCTGGTTTCCCTGTGGCATTACAGTACAGGGTGACATTTTTTCTTTCCTTTTCCATGACAGTAATGTTTTGTGGACTGTGGATAATACTCGCTGCAACTACAAAAGTAGTTAAACCTTAGGATGATGTTAGTTTCACTCATATACCTTCAAAAAACCAATGATGCCTCTGATATAGGTTTGTTTGTCACATTAATATGGCTCACTTATTATTAAACTTACAGTTGTCCACCGCCACCATTGCAACAGCTGAAACAATCTCGCCACGCACGCTCACAGCTGTACATTGGTAGCTCCCAAAGTCTGATATCTCAGCCTTTGTTATCCTCAGAGTTTGTCCTGTATAATTTACTTTGCTTGTGTTGTCAAGTTTCCTCCATGTTATTGCTGGCGTTGGATTTCCCATCGCATTGCAGAAGATTTCAAAAGTGTTTGTTTCATTTACAAGTTGATAGGCTGGACGAATGGTGGTGATATTTGGAGATTCTGTAAGAAAACACACGCATAATTGTGTTTTCAAGTTATACTTCATATGTAATTAATGAGAGCAAAGAAAAACGTGTTTATAAATGTCATTCTTCTCGGTGTGCTTGATATCATCTATTTAAAGTAAAAATTCATAATGAGGGTTTTACATTACTTAGAGTACTCACCATACAGAGTAAGTGTAATATTCGCCTTCTCCACACCAGCAACATTAGAGCAGCTGCACAGGTAGCGTCCTTGATCCATAGGAGTGAAGTTCTGAATAACATATACACTTTCATTGGTGTTAAACGAGTTATCTTCGCGGTAAATTCGACAGACTGGAGTAGGATAACCATTAGAAGAGCACTTCATGGCAACAGCTTCACCACGGGCGACTGCATTGAAAGAGAAGTTGGCTGTAATCGCAGTGTCCCTGGGATAACCTGCAAAGCGTTCATCATTAGTTTTCAAACGTAGAGGTAAAGAACACTATCGGTAGAGAAACCTCTTAGCATTAAAGGTTAACTGATCTGGTCAGAGATTCTCTCCATAATCTGACTCATTATGCCCATTAGTTCTAAAGGGTACCAAACCGTGTAAATCATGTAAAACCGATAAAAGTTCATTGGAAGGAATGAAAATCATTTAATAACAGACCTCCTTAGCCTGTATAATTTGTTTACCCATTTCAGGTCATGTAATAAAGGAATGATTTAAAAAAGAAAGAGCTGGGAGTTCCCTTTAGACCTAAAATGGTTAAACATGGAGAAGTCGGTATACCGGCATAAAGGCTTCTTTCAGCACCACAATATATATATATATATATATATATATATATATATATATATATATATATATATATAAAGCAAGAAGCGCTCTTGGAACTGTTCGTGGGGTCCAGAGCTTAGCTACTAACCTTCAACTTTAAGCTCCATTGTTCTTGATTCAGAAGCCAAATGATTGCTTACTGAACACTCATAAAATCCATCATCTGCCTGGGAGATGTTTAGTAAAGTGATATTACCAGTCACCTGACTCTCAAAGAGAACTTTACCATTTTTCCTCCACACAATGGTAGGTTGAGGACGACCAATCACGGTGCAAACTAATGTAACGTTGCTGCCGAGGTCGGCTGTTTGATTTGTTGAAAACGATAAGATTCTTGGTGGAACTGAAAGTAAAGGAAAATAGTTTATGCTGTTAATTTCAAACATCGGGGCCATAGCATATCTGTGGGAGTACCATAATGGCTCAAGCGTGTGGCTATAACACTGATCATACGTGCGAAAACTATGGATACGAAATTAATGCACTCTCAAAATACACGCACATCTATCTACTTGATGGAAAGACGTCAATTGATAATACAAAGACCTAGATCTTATAATCATACCAAATAACCATGATAGCGCATTTGTTCGTGATGTCAAAAATGTCATGAATAACCAAAGTCCAAATACTATGGGTGTAACTGAACATGAGAAAAAGAAAGATTTGCAAAACTAACAAAAAAAAGTAAGAAAAAAATTGAGGAACCGCAGGTTTCTTTTAGAAAATCTTTTTAATCGCACTACTTCGTCTCGTGTGACCAAGTTATAACGCTGTATAAGCTGTTCAGTCACAATTACACACGCGGAGGTCATTACCTAACGTTTCAGCTGTCTTTTCGCACTCCGTATTTTCCTGGAACTCGACATCGTCGATAGCGATATCACTGCGTGGAGTGCTGCCGACGACACCTTCAAATATCACCTGCCAAAAAAAAATTGTTGAAGACATCAAAAATCTAATAATCACATGCGAATGTTTCCAAAACATAAAATGATACTAATCGACCGGGTGAGGGTAGTCCTGAAAAGGACTGTTGTCGGTAAAAATGACTGACACTGTAACAACCAAGAGCGGAAGTCGTTCGGTTTGGTTTGCTTGCTATGTGAATGTCGCCAACAGCCAGAGGTAATTTTTATGGTGCTGTTAGTTGTTGTTCACATTTTTTGAGGGGAGTCTTCCATAGCCACACCGTAGGTTAAGCAGTGCGAAGACTCCAAGTCAATAATGTGGTTGGCAAGTCGATGATGTTCAGCAACGTGATTTTTAATTTCACATTTTCTCGTCGTTCCTTTGTGTTCAGCCAGTCTTCTGTTTTGTTACCGATCAGTTCAATTACCTATTGTTATAGAAGATCGGTATTCTCAGCAGATCCTGTAAACTGCTCCTCGTCTGTTGCTCGGTCCGTCCTTGTCTCTGACGTCAGTTTTTAATGGCGTAATGTGGTAATCGGTCTGATTACGACACGGTTATTGTAGGGACTGATGTGGAATCCGCGAGATGGTTTCAAACATGAAACTTCACGATCAAATGTTACTCGCAGGTTCAAACCATTAACTGCCTGGTCTGCATACCTGTTTATAGTGCCTTCATAACAAACAAGGGACCCATATCACCTTGCTTTGAATTTTCCGACAAGATTTGTCCAGATGTGCGACGTTGGATTAACATTCACATTATTAGTCACCAGCGCTAGTAATTAACTAAACTCTCTTACCAAAACCCAATTAAATAGACCATGATATCAGCTAAATATAGGGAATCGTTTTAAGTCTTTCAATTTCAAAAGAAGAGTTTCACTAACGATATATTTCTTGCTTGTTTAAATTTTGTGGATCACTGAAAAAGTAAAACTATCTTACCCTATAAGTGTCGTTAAAATAAAGAGGCAATGTCGCTTTGTGCCAGTCGTTTCCCTGGTTGCCTGAAAGCTCCCACAAAACTTGATCTCCAACCTTTACTCTGAGTGTGTGAATAGCCTGCCCATACATATGATAATAGAACACCATACACGTCGTGTTGCCATTGCTAGCTATGCGTGGAGACTCTATCGTCGAAACGTCACCGAAGGTTTGTCCAGAAGCTTCTACGTACATGTAAAATCCTGTAATAAAAGCGTTTAGGGTATTGATTTTGTTTCCTTCCAAATTAGGTAATGGAGTAGTTTATATGGCTAAAATAGATTTTGCCTTCTCTTTAAACATTTACTTTATAGTAGCGACTTTTTTATTTTAAAAATATTTTTAAAATGGTTTAGCATTTTTTGGAAAATTCTGTGAAAAGTTAATTAAAAAAGGACTGCTGGGAAAGAATTGCGATTCTTAGCATAAACCATTGCATGAGAAGTGATAATACCAAATGCTCTCACCAAATCCAGAGGTGTGATCTTGAGAGGGTCCTGTGTTGCCAGTTACAGTTGGACCAAATTTTCTTGTCCATGCGAGACCCCGGTTGTCTTCTGAAGTTTCCCAGCCACAATACCAGATGTCAAAATTACAGCTTGCATCTAAAAGAAGACATTTCGTTACCAACAAACATTGATTTTATGAGTTAAACGAAAATGTAGAACAACCTCTTATGTAAATTGAGTGAACTAGCTTATTCTTATGCCAAACGGATATATTGGGACGTCACACCACACGCTTTAGAAATGGAAAGAACGTATTTTATATTTTATCCTCTAGACTTGAATCAAATTTCTTGGGATAGGGGATAGCACTAGAAGTTAACTAACGTTTTCCTTCTCGGCTCCGACGCGTACCGAATATTCCATTTTTTTAACAGCTTGTCATAAATACAGTTGTCAACAAGTGAAAGTTGTCTATTCGTTCCTTTTACATGCTATAGTCGCACTTAAGAAGATACTGTAGTGATTACCAACATGACAACCTTACCCTTTGCATTCACAGTGTAATCATAAGCACATTCTACCCCCACATCTTTCGTGTGATCACAGTTACTGTTTCCCCAACCAGCATGTGGACAAGCTGCGAGCGTGCTCTCATTTCCCGTGCAGTTGACGTCATCTAGCCATATTGGCCCATCAATGGCACTCCCAAAAATTGTACTGTTGAAGAAGTCAAAAGCTTCCGGGTAGCCCAGCATACGACACACCACGTGGGCATCATTCATATCCCAATGATCTTGACATATCGTACCCCACTGGCCATTGTAGTAAAGTGAAACACGACCTTCATTTGGATAGTTTCCATCCAACAGCTCAAGCTCTATCACTGATGATGAGTAATAATAAACCATTGCTTGTGAAAGTGTTGTTGCCTTAGCCTACTTAAAGCTGTGTCTTTCATCGTCCAAACTTCAGGAAATTGGCTTTTTTATAATAAGAAGTTTGAATAATCAAATGACACTTGCTAATATCTAGGAAAATTGTTAAATTCCTGAAGAGATTTAGAGAGAATTATCGTACAGCTCTGCGTGCAGCTGCTTCGCACTATTCAATGTAAATAAGTGGGGTTGCATGAAGTAATAAGCCTGCTCAAGATTATTCTGTATGTAACAATATTAGAAGATAACAATGCACCTTATGCCACAGCATTTTCCAAACTGTAGAATGTGTGTTAATTTTACTGCAGATGTCATTTATGCGTTCCAGTGGCAAACGCAGTTAACGTAATTGTTTTCCTCGTTCCTTCTATGAAAAGTGACGTTCCCTTTAAATATAAAGCCTACAGTATACGCACGACACATACACATGCCAAACCCTTGTTTATACCTGGATATTTCTCTTTACACACAACACCTGCATCATGATCATGGCTGCAGTTATGCGAACCCCATCCTCTGAATGAACACGAAGCCACCGAAGACTCTTTCCCACTGCACCATAAATCATCGAGTAAAATTTTCTGGCTGGTATTTCCGGCGCCAAATCTTCCTTTCACTTCAGCAGATACAGCCCCGGGAAAACCCGCCATTCGACAAATGACGTCTGCATCTTGAATATCAAATAGGTCGCGACACACAGTTCCCCATTCACCATTGTAGTTGACCTCCACACGACCTTCTCTTTCACTTAACCCATTTACTAATCGAGCATAAACAGCTGTAGTGATAAAATTTTAAAAAATGTTACTAAAACGGTAAAGATTCTTCCGCGCGAAAAATTATTACATGTAGCCAGGGAAAACTGCGGTTCTTAGCGTTGAATCTTTGTAAAGAGGAAAACACAACACAAAGTACCCGTAAGTTTAACCTCTTAACGCGGGTCGTGGTCACCCTTCCTATGATCCCAAAGGATCGCTTTTATTTTTCAACTTTTATATAACGACTGTTAAGCGGAAGAAAATATCAGAACTACATGACCACTTTAAGAAAAAGATAAATTCTTCATAAATCCATTCCAACGTAGCGGAAGAAAACGCGTGAAAATTCAAAGAATTCCTAAAATAAAATTTTATTTTCCGCGAGTGACCATGTAATTGAGGTTTCACCGCACAACAGATGGCAAAGCATCGACATATATTAGACAAAGCATACATACTAGGCAGTCCAACTGGTTTGTTAGTATCATTTACTACTGTGGAATCTGGAAATCCGTTTGGCCGCAGTGAATCACCGCAAATTACTCCTGCGTCTTCCTCATGATCACAGTTATGAGCCAACCAACCATTGTGACCACATTCAATAAGGGAACTTTCATTTCCAAGGCAATTAACATTGTCGAGCCAGATGGGTCCCGTTCCGTAAAATTCACTTGCGTTCTGTTCTTTCATAAGCACGCCAAACGAGAGTGCTTGCCAAGCATCCTTAAAGCCAAGCATTCGACAAACTACAGTGGCGTCATTGATATCCCAATCGTCATCGCAGACCGTGCCCCAGATTCCATTGTGATAGATCTCTACCCGGCCATACACATCATCTCCATCTCTCAATCGCACAATTGGTGCTATTAAATCAAAATAAAGCAGAGTAGTTCAGTCATTTCATTTCATTTTTTTTTTGTTTTAATTTTTTTTTTCATTTTATTTGTCTAAAATACCCTCTACAATATTTCTGTACTGACACTACACCGCAAAAAGCATTAGCTAATCTAGGCGGGTAGTGTTGAGGTACCTAATTATACTAAAAACAGAATTTTATTAATAACAAAATTATACTAATTATAAAAATTAACGAAGAGAAAGATAGATAAATTGGAAAAAAAGTATTAGTAAAGAATATCACTATAAAATGAATTATCTATTAAAATTCTGAATGAAAATACTGCTCATGCAACAAAGCACGACGCTAACAGACAGTTATCACCAGGGGAACTAATTAAACTTCCAAGTACATACAATACAAAGGATACTTTAGACGTCAGTGTTTTGACCTGCTTTTTCTTGAGTCTGCTTCTAATTTCTCACAAGGCACCCATATTCATATTTTGAAACTCATTGATTCAGTTGAAGAATTAAATTTCAATAAAACTGTGAAGTGTATTCAGTTGCAAACTGCGCATTAAGGAATTACCTTTAATTTTCTCCTTGCAAACTACACCAGCATCTTCACTGTGATTACAGTTACTTGATCCCCATCTTCTGAATGAACAGGTAGCTAATGAGGTCTCCTGTCCAGTGCACCATAAGTCATCAAGCAAAATCTTCTGAGTGGAATTACCTGGACCGAATCTTCCTCCTACCTCTGCAGAGACTGCTCCAGGGAAGCCCATCATTCTACATACGACTTCCGCATCTCGAATGTCAAAATCATGGTTGCACACAGTTCCCCATTCTCCATTGTAGAAAACCTCGACCCTACCTTCCCGATCACTTGATCCATTGACTAATTGAACTTGAACAGCTTAGTTGAGGAAAAAAATAAACTCAATATTATGATAAATTGGAAATGTATGATAAAAGGATGAAAAACAAGCGGGAAAGACTTTGCTCCTGGGTGCACTCTACTTTGGTCTCACGATTTTTTTTCTATGGTGGTAGCACACGAAGTTCTCAAATAGTCTTCAATTGTTACACAAAGTGATATTTCTAGTTTTGTTGTGACCGTCCACATGCGACAAAGAAAGAAAATCTGAGCACACTACGAGGAATCGAGCCTCTGACCATCGCTGTTACACACGAGAGCTAGCCTACACATTGAACATCTAAAGAACGCAAAAATTCTATGAAATAAATGTTATGTCTAAGGACGAACAAATAGAATAGTTCCTTATGTTTTTCAGTGACATGTAAGCACATTCATGATACTTACACGGTGGTCTAACAGGCTTGTTTATGTCAGGGACCACTGTTGATTCAGGAATATCTGCCCCCCTTGTTTTATTACCACACCAAACTCCAGCATCTTCCAAGTGATCGCAATTGTGAACCAACCAACCACTATGGCCACACTCGTTTAGAGAACTCTCGTTTCCGAAACAATTAACATCATCGAGCCAAATGGGTCCTGTACCATAAAGATCTAGTTCGTCCGTGGTAATTTCCACAGCAAATGAGATGGCAGTCCAAGCGTATTTGAAGCCAAGCATTCGACAAACTACAGCAGTATCGTTGATATCCCAACTATCATCGCACACTGTACCCCAAGTACCATTATGATAGATCTCCACTCGCCCGAAATCAGGAGAGCCACCATCTCTCAAACGCACCATCGGAGCTGTTTAATTGAATGAAAATAGCGCATTCTCTATCTGATTCAAATCTACGTACATGTTTTTTTTTAATAGGAAATTCTTTTATAGAAATATAAGAGCATTTTTCTCCTCTCTTTTAAATAACTAGTGTGTAATACTCGACAATGAAAAGGAGTCTAATCGAATCAGACATAGCACAACTCAAATGCACGCATGTTGAGGGAAAACTAAAAGGGATGTTCAGTCAAAAAGAGTCTGCTAAGGAAAGAGAACAATGATGATGCTGACATACCGGGCGGAAAAGTTGGAGTGGCTGAGCTCTGCATCACGGTCAGTGAAGGTGAACTTGGCGATATCACTGTGGGAACAACTATTGTAAAAGAGCTTCCTGGTGACATTGTCACTTGAGTTGCAGTGGAAGTAGTTGGTGTCGACAAGGCTCCAGCACTCGACAAATGCAATGATGAAGATTTCTGCCCTTTCAACAAAACAGCGCTAGAAGAAATTGATGATGAAATTGGTTGTGCGGTTGTTTTCACAATTAAGTGTGAAGCTGACTGTTCTGCTGTGGAGGGAGTCTTTTGTGACTGCCGTGGTTTCACACTGGAAATTCGTAAGGGTTTCTTTGTGGGTTTTTCTGTTGCTGGACTGTGACATATAACTTCAGCATCTTGGGTATGATCGCACTCATTGACACCCCATCCACTATGGCTGCATTCAGATAACGTGTCTTCTTGACCCGTACACGACAGATCACTTAACCAAATCGGATCACGGCCCCCTGAATTCTTAGTGCAACAGCCAGCTGTCCAAGCCCCAGGGAATCCCAACATTCGACAAACAACTGACGCGTCTGGCATATCCCAGCCATTCTTACATACAGTTCCCCAACGTCCATTTCGGTATATTTCTACTCTACCCCTGTTAGAAGACGTTCCACCAACAAGACGAACTTTTAAGGGAATACCTGAAACGAAAGAGAGATGGTCAACATGAGTGTAGTTATTTCTGTTAACCCACTTTTTAGAGTATCAAACCAACCAAACATTCCATGCTAATGGTTCACGAAGAAGTATGAAAGTCACAAGTTGTAAGAATGGATTTGGTAGCCAAACGAACACTAATAAAACAACGACATCGTATCAGAGCTAAGGACGGCAACTAGAGACAAACTAGCAAAGAAACAAACCGAAATGTTCCAAAATATTTATTTTGCAAGAGTTAATAATATATAAAAAAAAACAAAGGTAAAAAGAAAGGTAAAGCAGGATATTTTTTCATCAAGTATAAGCTTAATGGATGGAGTGATAGGGAATTTTCTCGGGCCTTTCCTTTTATAGGGGGTGTCATTAGACATACATTTACCTTTCATTTCCACCTGAATGATACTCTTGGGTGCTGCAAAGGAGCTGAGAAATGTGCAGCGAAAGCGTGTGGCATCGGTGTCTGTGACATTTTTCAATGTGAATGCCACATCCTTACCAGAAACCATATCAAAAGTGTCCTCATTTCCAACTTTTTGGTGAAAATCACTAGCATACCCTTTAACAGCCATAATCTGCCATTCGTCGCTGTAAAGAAACTTTTCACGCTCCACAATAATTAAAGAAAAGCGATCTGCATTCGGTCTTTCCTCTTTTGTGAGGGATATTGTCCATTCCAGTGTGGCGGTTGATCCTTTGCGAACATTACTGGGTGGTGTGATGCCCCATTCAAGAGAATCTACAGGTTTGAAAAGACGGAGAGAGTCAAAAGGAAAATCAGAAGCTAATCCACGCTTATGAAATTTTGCCACAAACCATGGACGTCAATTGAGGCCGTGAACGTTACACATAGACATCGATGTAACAGAGACGTACTTATCTTGTGTCTCTGTCGACAGACGTTAATTCTGGTAAAGAGGTGGAAGACAACGAAATGAGATTGCTAGTGCACGCTGCGTTACAATGTTAATTTGGGGAGCACACACTCAGATAACCAAGCGCGAGTTGTGAGGATGCGGGAATACGAAGCGATTCATTTCACTTTACTCGCATGACTTCTCGTTGATGGGCATCTGAGCCCACGTAACTAAGTTTCTGATCCTTAGGATATTATTTCACTCTTTTGTCAAAAGTGAGCAAAAAAAAAGTCCGTTCTCAGGTCAGAACCGAATAATTGGGTAAACAAAATATCTTTCATTCGAAAAAGATCTCTCTGACGTACTCAACAGCTCAATGTTAATTAATCTTTAAAACCAACTGCTGTTAGGCAGGGAAGGAAACCAGATTCGTGGAGAGTAGCGGAAATCGAGGTTAAATCTTGTGTCCTCTTTCTCGTGTTATCCTGTTGCCTGGATGTAAAGTTCAGCAATATAGTAACAGTGACAAATTTTCAGAATTGATGGCCATCATTCCCTCTCATCAATATATTAAGCTGCAGTTGCAATATCAAAATCTTTGTTAACGTTTTAGCATTTTGACCGTTATAATGAAGTTCAGAGAGGATTTCATCCTGCACGACAGTGCAAGGCATTTGCTTTACAAATCCGTGTTACCGGCGCAAAGCTGTCTTAAAAAAAATAATTTGTAAGCAGGATGTAAATCGTGATAAAAATACGTAACAAACAAATTAAGTCACGTAGAATTAAGTATTATACCGCGAACATTAATTTTCGCATATCAACGCATGACTTTGTGCGAGAGTTATCAATAAGTTTCTTGACACTTTATAGAGCAGCCCGTAAATTTACAAATGAAAGGAAAGAATCCCAGGTTTTGCGTCGTCGTTGTGAGTTTGAATACTAAAACAAATGATTTGCATGAACTGGCAACTTGAACCGGTCAGCAAAAAAAATTATGAAAGTTTGTTTTCGGTGTTCATGTCATGTTATCGTTGCATGGAATAATGTTGTCAATGTTGCACTTGAAATATTTCCCTGTAGTCGCGTATTTGTCAGCTAAATAAACATCTCTAAGTCTGCATGTATTCCAGTTAAGCATTATTAACAGGTATGCAAATTATCTCAAAGGTCTCTTCGACGATAATAATCCCTAAATATATGAAATAGTTTATCGTAGTTTACAACGAGTGGCGGCATCATTCGCAAAAAAATCGGCGCTAGTATTTCTAAGTTTATTCAGAACTGAAATAGTCGTTGCTCAGCACCGTTCAAAGTTATGTGGTGGATGGTTTGGAGACGATTGTGAAAAGCACGTAAACATTTGCATACGGCATCGAAAACTTACTTGTTAATGAACTCGGTGAATACAGGAACAAAACCAGCAGGATATATACAACCATCGTCACTCTCGAAGAGATCGATTAAGATATAAAATCGAACTTGAGTGATAGAGATTGACATGGACAGTTGAACCTTACTTAATTCGAAATATGTCCGTTTGTGATATAAATGAGACAGTGACGTACTTATTAAGATATGAAAACACACAGGAATGTGCACACCTCTCAACAATAAACAATAGATATGCTAAATCAGTCGCTAATGATCTATTTTCGTCACGCCAGTTTGTTTCCGGTTGATGTCGTAATCCGTTACAGATCCTTCTAGAGTAGGCGAAGTTTTCAAAGACATGGCCAAGTGTCAGTTAACCATTTTGTAAAGTATGGTGTCTTTATTCTGTAAAGTTCGAAAGAAAAAAAAAAGAAATCATCGGCGGGGAAGATGTCCTAGAGTTTAACTGGCTATCACGCGCCCGTAAACTACACAGGTTTTCGCAGAACGGACGGCTTTTAAGCCGGTTGAAGAAGTAGAAAACGAGTTATTATGAATAACACGTTAGCTTTGAGTCCGCAATGACGTTACTGGCTTGAGGAAATGGGACTTGGTTTTTAGCTCGATAGGTGATCAGTGTGACTGTATGTACTTTTTTTTCCTCGAAAACTACTGCTTTTGCTTTCTTTGTTTTTTCTCACCAAATATTGAGTAATATATAATGAAAACGATTAGGGGAAGAAGGTAATTTTTTTTTAAAATGTCGGTTCGATACTACCTGTCAGTCGAAAGTAGTTCGAATAATTTCTCCTAGGTTCTCACTCTGAAGGAAATTTCCAAAACTCTAGGAATATGTTATTGCTTGAATGTGTAATTACTGATACATTAAACCTGTAAACAAATCCTAACGCTGCGTCGTAGTCGTTGGTTCAATATCTAAAACTGACATACAGTACTTTGTAAAAACATTACATTAATTTTTGGGTTTAATTTGCAATTAATCTCTTAAAGTTGCTGACGCAAAAGTGTGGTCTCTTGAAAACGTATCGAAGTCACATAAGAATCGAGTTTCATCATTAGGTTTGATGTAAATATAAGGCCGCAACAAGCTTACTCACACATTCTAAATTCTAGAGAGCTAGCAAGGAAGGTTACTGTAGGTAAATTCGAAAAACCTTTTCATAGCTTTGAGTGTTTCTCTGTAGGTCGGCGTCGTTTACTTTTCGTGTAAGTTGAGGTTTTCAGGAGAAATTCTAAAGATATTTGGTTCGAACTTCCTCATCAAATTTTTCGGTTTCTCTATTGAAATTTAGGCAAAACTTGCACTGCGCGGTAGAAAATTTCAGTTTATCTCAGTGTAAGCACCTGTGAAGTGTTTCTTTATTTTGTCACTCACTGAAGTTGGCCCTATTGCTGTAACATCAATATTTTCGCTTTTCTCCGTCACCCGTAAACGAGACAATTTCTTACACCATCTCGGAGAATTAAGTAATGAAAACAGTGGACGTAAAACTTATTCTTTGAAGAATTACTTGTCCTTATGTTTCACCCCTCTGAGTTACTCTTTGTGAAGCTTCATGACATTACGAACGTTTTGCTTGAACGTGACAATTTCATAGCTGATTAAAAATCTTTCGCATACGCAAGATAATAGCGAGCGATACCAATGTGCTTTACCACTGGTGTACGCATTCGCTTGAATCCTAAGCCTAAGCTCCAACTAATTTCATAAAGGTCTCGCGATTCATACGGAAATTCTCTTTCCATTCCTCTTCAGCAACCCCACCAGTAACAAAGTTTTCCCACCATCCATTGCAAAATCCGGGCCAATCAAAATAATCTTGCAGGAGAAGAGGTTTATTGCCGAAAATTACACTATTTACCCTCGTACATCGCTTTGTCTTCGCACGACCGAACAGCCTAGAAAAAGGCCTTGATGACACATCTCATAACCCTTGAAACCTATCCGATAAGTAATAATTCCCTTTCAAGATCGACGCGGCGCAGCTTCTGTCCATTACAAAAACTAACTCAGAATGGGCGTAAAAAATTATTTGCCAAAAGTTATCAAGCAAGCTGGGTCCTTTCAGAATTTTTTCTTTGTTGTTGGCATCGAAATCAAAATTACAACTTTTATAACTTTCATTTTAACTTTCTTTTACGTATATAACAGTATGCGAATTTTATATGTCGCTTATTGTACTTTATATAATTTTAGAAACACGTCAGTAGCTTTATGTTTAATTAGTACTTTCCACGATAGAATTGTTAGTCTCAACAACAAGGCCCTCTTGATTTCAGTTTCGCAGTTGAATGGGCTACCCTGAATAAATAAAGTTTATCTTTCTATCTATGAATCTCATTTGATTTGGGTCGTTATTCCGATTAAAGCAATTGCGTAAAGTCTGAAAGAAGGATCCATCCTTTATAAGGATTTCACTATGTCCAAATGCCAAAAATTCATTAATTCATGATGCAATCATTTCGTAAGGAAATATGCCCCTAGCATGCCAAACGTCATTTCCAATAGCATCAAGCTAAAGGGACACGTTTTGTGTGGGTTATTGCGCCGTTCACTTCCTATAGGGACAGCCAGGTTACAAAGACAGGTACCTAAGGATTTAAAAAAAAGGCGCTTTATCAAAAGCAGCCTATTCGTGAATTTATACGAACGGCAAAACTCTTTGAAAGATCTTTTTTCAAAACGGAAATGGTCCAAAATAAGGGAATGTCACCGTCGAGTTCACCGCAGACTCTTTGAAATTTGAATTGCCTGAATTAAAATGTCAAACATTGATTAGAGTCAGAAAAACCATATTAAAACCTAAGGAGGAAGTATCAAGTAACAGTCTGTCTATGACCTTCGCGGATGGAAAGCAAAACGACATCAGAACGAACTCAGTAATTATTTCATTCTGGACAGCGTATAAAGGAAGCCACTGAGATGGCTGTTGCCAAATCTGTTAGGTTTTGCATGTTGCAGAATATGTACCGTTGTGTTTTTATTTGGTTGAGTTTGACAGCGTTGTTTTCTTCAGTATCAGGTATGTGCTTTAGTATCATAGGCGCCACGGTCTTTGGAATCCCCACCAACAAATCATAAAAGGCTACTAACTAGACCCTTTCCTTTTTCAGCGATCCACTGGAACAAAACACCCCCTGCAATCGTTAAAGGAATACTCGGCGAAAACGTTACACTTGAGTGGAATTTTACCATTTCATCCGCCAACGAAACTTTGGACTATTTTTCTTTGTTGCGATCCAGTTACTTAGATATGATTAAATATAGTCATAGCACGGGCAAAGTGATATACGAAGACTTCAAAGGTAGAGTGGACATGCTGGTCGATGGATCCCCGAAATTTGTCTTACTCAGTCTGCAAAGAGAGGACGATAAAGCTGAATTTTGCTTGAAGGTCTTGACAAAGAGTATAACAAATACCGATGGGAAGGTTCATTGGCCTAAACCCCACAGATGTGCTAAAATTAAATTATTGGGTAAGGTTGGTTTGTACCCTCTTCAGTGAAACGAATCGCACACGCAAATTCACTTATTAATGGTTTTGTTTCTTATGCTGTCTAAATAATGTTGTAAAATGGAATTTACCGCTTCATTAGATCGAAAGAAGATGTCTTGCACACGAAACATCTTTTCTCTTCCATTTATGGACGAAAGGTCAAGTTTGGTTGTTTGCTCCTCTATATCAAATCGATTATATCGAGTCCGGCGGGCCTATCTTTTTCACAAATCCGAAGAAGAAAAGCATGGATGACATTTAAAACAGTATAGCAAACATTCTGATAGTGTACTAAGAGTATCTGATGAATCCCATGTTGTTTAACGTGTGAAATGGAGGGCAGTTTCCGTATGCTGACCAATGATTCAACAAAACAGATGCCATGCGCCACTATTTTGAAAGATCAAGTAATTAACGAAAAACGAAATCAGCAGGAGTAGAAAAAGCGGCAAATCTTGGGAATGCCTTGACGTCCTATTTCATGATTTAATATTTCAGTTTTCGAAATCCACATCAAACGGCCAACAACACAAATGATGATAGAATCTACTGCATAACTTTGTGGCAAAAGCGCGCCCGTCTATGACCTTCAGTGTACCTTTTATTCCTTACATGTTAAGCGATGAAATAGGTCAGAATACATTGTCAGTCTGATAGCAACCGGTAACCGGTATCCTATCCCTTTATGTGTGTTTGTTTATTTCAGGTTTGTCTTCTCAACGTTATTTGCAAAATAGTTAGTTCAGTCCAACGCGATTAGTGCACGTGTGTCAGGGTTAATGAAATTAAGCTCTCTTTACTCTACAAAAATAGCAAATAGAACTGATTAGCATTCCGGAAAAAACCCTTTCCGAAAACTATAAGCAATATTGAAGTTTACGATGTAAAGGTGATCTTCCCATCTTATTTTATAATGTTACTAGTGCACGTTTTTAATTTCCTCTTGACCATATGGACATTGCATGTAACGCCTACCTACCTCACCAGCGATAAACTTGTTTTCACGAACGTAACATGAAGTCATGCGAGAGCTTAGGCGCGTGGACGTAACAAGGGGATGACCATAACAGCCTTTTGCAAGGATAAACAAACAAGCAAAAATACTGTGGTTTTAAGTAGTCACTGGTAGTCATCGGATTCATTTTTTGCTTATGTCGCTTAAGGATTTGCTTAAGCTGCACATAAATAAATTCACGCGTTATGCCAGCTTCTATTGACTCACATTCGTGGGGGAGATGCAACTTGCTTCTTTTTTTAAGAGTCTGCAAAACAATGATGTTTTCTGTTTTCATTTTTTAAATTGTTTGTTGTTTTGTTTGTTTCTTTTTTCTGGCAGAACGTCCGGGAATTGTTGGCATCCCGAAAAACCACACTGTGACATTTATTGAGAGAGAAGACGTGAAAATCAATTGCAGAACGACTGGCATACCAATTCCTAATGTTACGTGGACAAGATCAGGCAATGAAGCTAAAAACTTTCCACCAGCATCTCCCCTAATATTGAAAAATATAAGCAGAGAAGAGGACGGCTTATATTGGTGCGTAGCAGAAAATGGACTTGGTAAAGTCACTGCTTCTGTCAGGGTCATTGTTAAATGTAAGTACTATTGGAAACAGTAGGAAATTGGACAATTCCCTTTCACATTTAATAGAAAAATCTACAATGACTGATATATCGTATCAATATTACATTGACTCTGATTTACGACTCTCCAATATCCACTTTTAAGCAATCAGAGGAAACTTTCAGACGTGTTACAAACGAAGGAAACAGCGAAAAAGAACTTCACGAAGTTATAGTAACTAACGCGCAAATTGCCGAGGTTTCTAATCACAAACATTCAACCACCAAACGTTATCGATTTTAAAAGTCTAAAGAAGGAAATATAGATTGTGGCGTTTGAACATGACGTTAAGTTTGTTTTTGGTGAGAGTTCTTGATAGCTATTCTTAATTTATGGCACCGTCTGAAGTTGTTACTTTTTTCTTTAGACATAAGATCCCATATATAGGACATGATGCGCTGCTGATTAACATTTGCTCCTTGAATCGATGGTGTTTGTCTCACGTTCTTCAATTAACTATAACATCTGCTTATGGCTCTTGTTATCATATATACAATTAGATGTAATTTCCTTGCATGAGACAATCTAGACCCCTCTTTACAGAGACCTATCAAGAAAATTAAAGTAAAAGCGGTCAGGTCCACTAAGACATGAGGCCTTCAGAGATAAACCAAAGGGGAAAGAAAACCACAAATACTTCTTTTATCTTATAATAATGTATCTAACATTGATCTTTTTAAACTGAAATTTACCCACGATTTAGTTCCACCGTCAATAAAGTATATTACCCCTAATACCACTGTAAATGAGACTGATGATGTCACTCTGTTCTGCAACTCAACTGGAAACCCTGCTCCAAATATTACGTGGGTACTTCTGGATGACTTGGATGCAGGGATCAGAGGAACTCAAGAGTCTTTGACCTTGTCTCATGTTAAGAGAAATCAATCAGGAACGTATGGGTGTTTTGCAGACAATGGTGTGATGGGACGAAGGAACGACAGTGTGCATATTACGATAAACTGTGAGTAAAAAAAAAAAACTTGAATCAACAACTAACTCGTTATATCAAGGTATATACTAACATAAATTTGTGAACTAATGCAATACCACTGTAACATTCAAATCTGAACTACAAAGGTAATAATAATTTCATTTGAGTTTGGGAAACTGCTCAGTGAAATTCAACTGAGTATAGCTCATGTTTCCTGTAAGTACTTAACAACGTCTGGTATATAGACGAAGTAACTTGCATCATTGAGAAAAATTTGAAACATGTATTCAAAAAAGCTCGTAAGGATAAAGTTCCGTTACGCTCCATGGTTAGTCTGAAAAACTCGCATCATCTTCTCAGAGTAAAACGCAAAATCAAAACCCATGGTGACTTAATCACAGGCGCTCTCTCGAACTTTGATTTTCTTAAACTTCTTTGAGACTCCTTGTTTCCCTTGGTGATGACTTTCTTTCATGTGCACTCTTCTTGTGGCTTTCAGTTATTCATTCATCTCAAAGTTATGCATTTATTTCACTCCATTTCTGACACAGGCTGGAAATTACGGAAAAGAAGAACAATATGTTTCTTACCTTATCTCCGTAGATTCCCCGACTATCGACATCAGACCCATCAGTCAAGCAGTAAATAAGTCTAATAACCTGGAGCTTTTCTGTAACGCCACTGGGCATCCAACACCTCAAATCACGTGGTACAAGTTAGCGGACCCTTCAGAGCTACTCACAGTTGGCACAGTCCTCAACGTGATGAATATGAACAGGACTGATTCTGGAGTTTACCAGTGCAGAGCCAGTAATGGAATTGGAATTGATGCGTTCGCTTCAGCCAATGTGACAGTCAATAGTGAGTTGAAATTAATACAAGACCTTAAAAAATGTGACAGAGATGTCAACGTTTTTCCCATAAGGAGTCTTGCTAAAATCTGATTGACCAAATTTTTGGTCCTTTTCTTTAACGATCCTTTTTTTCATAATGTCCTTGAGCCCTTCAGTAGGCTCGTCAACAAGAGTAAAAGTAAACCTGGTATTATTTCAAACGAGGTGACCATGGCCTATTTCGTACTCATAAAAGAATAACACGAGGTTCAAGAAAGAGTTTAAACTCCTGGAAGTTTTAACTTAAAAGTTGAAGAAGAAATTCGTGAAAAGCAAAAATCATGCCAAACAATGTCAAGCATTCCCACTTAACCTCGAATTTCTGCGCAGTGTACCTTTCAGGTCATATTATCAGAAATTTTTTACTTTACCTAATTGAAGCAACATTTACTTATATTGTAAGGAAATGTTCTTGAAAAGTGTTCACACAGGAGAAAGATATATTAACAGTGCTTCACTCCATAGATGAGGATTATTTCTGACATAGATAACAATTTGATATAACAAACAGTTTACTGAGTTGATCGAATTAGGATGACCGAAAATAACATTAACTATACAAAAATTTCACATGGTGGAATTGGATGAAGTAGTCCTCATCATACGATAGATCACTTGTCAGCTTAGACTGATAAGGTCTAGATTCCCTTTTTGTCACATTTTATGTAAGTACCCATTCAGTTCTTTTCTCTTAATTTTCCCCTATCAGTACTGATAGTGAATCGAGCGTATTTTCTTAACACTATTTCCGTCTCAGCTACAAAGGTCAGTTTACATCAGAAACATGTGTATATACAAGGCAGAGTCTAATCGCAGGACTTCCTCTTGCAATAACAATATTTTTGCAATTTGTTGATATTTAGTTCCACCATCGTTTGATTATATATCCAATGATACCATTGTCAACGAAACTGATGACGTTATGCTGTTCTGCAATTCCACCGGACACCCTCATCCACACATTACGTGGAGATTTTTGAGCGAATCAGAAAAACCTCTTGGATATGAAGAATCTCTTACCTTGTCCAACGTTAACAGAACCCAAACAGGAACGTATCTGTGTACGGCATCTAATAACGTGACGAATTCAAAGACAGCCAGTATACAAGTTACAGTAAACTGTAAGAACAGAATTATTGATCCACTATTATTCAACAAAAATTAAAAGTGAATTTTATTTGCCGGGGTTTCAGAAGTTGTTTCAAGAAACAGCTATTGTCGGTGACTGTGACTCACGTTTCCCCCGAGATCTTATTGGTACTTTGCCATGCTCTCCTTTGTTCTGAGTATTCCATATGTGTAATTTCATTTTTGCAATATATTAATCATTCATCAGCGATCTATGTATCCATTCTCCTTTGCTTTCGGTAATGGCTAATTTGGGGAACCAAAATAAAAACAATGGGTTTTTTATCTTCACTAGATTCCCCGAGTATCATAATGAGACCCATCAGTAAAACAGTCAATGAGTCTAATAATCTGGAGCTTTTCTGCAACGCCACCGGGCATCCAACACCTCTAATTACTTGGTACAAGGTAGCGGACCCTTCGGTGCCACCCTCAGTTGGCACAGTCCTGAACGTGACGAATATGAGCAGAACTGATTCTGGAGTTTACCAGTGCAGAGCCAGTAACGGAATTGGAACTGATGTGTTCGCTTTAGCCAATGTGACTGTCAATTGTAAGTTAAAATGATTATAAGACTTTAAAGAATCTGAGATAGAAGTTGACTTTTTTTTCTCATAACAGCTCTTCCTAACATCTGATTGGCCACGTTTTTATGCAACCATTTTCTAAACATAATTTCTGGAGCCATTGAGGCAGCTTTTACAAAAGGTGATCCGCGCTTATGCCCTAACAAATACTCTTTATAAGCCTTACTAGCCTCTCGAATAACAGTAAAACTGTTGCTAGTCTTCTCATAAACGAAGATATTATGGCCTATTTTCATAAACATCAGTAAAAGAATAATACCTCTGGTTTTCCATCTAGGTAATCAAAATTGCGCAACAAATCTTCCAGATATTCTAAGAGAATATTAATCAAAAAGGTTAATGTAAGCACCGGAATTTCTTTGACAAAAAAAAGAAATGTTTATCCAGGTGTTCGCATTGGGATGCCAGAAAAGAACATCGATCATTACTATACTTACCTGTTTGCACAATGGGATTGGATGAGCCAGTCCTCCTCATGCGATGTACTAGTTTTCAGTTTATATAAAGTTAAGATTACATTTCCGTTTATTAAATAGACGTATTCATTTAGTTACCTTTACTGAATCTTGCCTCTGTCTACACTTACGTTGAATCAAGTATGCATATGCTGCTGATCAGTGTACATTAACAATTCAGGTGTGCTATTAAAGCAGAGTCCCGATACATTCAGACATTCTCTGACAAGAAAGGTATTGTTGCAATTTGACAACATCTAGTTTAATCATTAACGCTGCCCCATGCTGAGAAAAGAACCACCTATGTAATATGCTGAATAAAAGTACCAGATAATTTTACTCTCTCTCTGTAGACGCCCCAAAGATTGACATGAGACCTTTGAGTCAAACAGTGAATGAGTCTGATAACTTGGAGCTTTTCTGTAACGCCACTGGGCGTTCAGCCCCTCAAATCATGTGGTACAAGGTAGCGGACACCTTAGTGCCACTCTCAAATGATACAGCCCTCAAAGTGAAGAATATAAACAGAACTGGTTCCGGAGTTTATCGGTGCAGGGCTAGTAATGGAATTGGAACTGGTGTGTGCGCTTCAGCCACTGTGACAGTCAACTGTGAGTAGAAAGTTATCGATAAATATGAGACTGAAATGAATCAGAAATATATTTAAGACTATTTTCTCGAGCGAGCTCCTTGTCTCTATAAATCCTCTTTAAACATAATTTATCGAGCCCTAAATGTGACTGTTAGAAAAAGTGATCATTTTCCTTTCCCTTGTATGGACACATTAGCCTTGTTACTTTCGGCAACAAGTATGAAACAAATACACGTAGATATGTTGTTTGTCAGTGTCCATCAATAATGTAGATGTACCAAAAAGATATAGAGCTTACTTACAGTATTGTCTTTAACAATAAAAAAATCGTTGCAATTTTTAAATATCTAGTTCCACCATCACTTGATTATACTTCCGATGATACCACTATCAACGAAACTGATAACGTCACGCTGTTTTGCAATGCCACTGGATATCCTCATCCACGCATAACGTGGACATTTTTGAGAGGATCAGAATCAACAATTGTTGGACGTGAAGAATCTCTTCCCTTGTCCAACGTTAGCAGAACCCAAGCAGGAACGTATCAGTGCACGGCATTCAATGACTGGACTAGTTCAGAGGCAGCCAATATACAAGTGATAGTAAACTGTAAGTATAGAAGTCAGTGTTGATCCACAATTATTCATCGCAATTAATCGTGAGTTCTGCTTTTCTGGTCAGAGTAGTTCTAAAGAAGACTATTGCTAACTGTTCAAATTCCAGCTTTGATAAAGAAAAAAACTTTCTTTTTCATACCGGTACGTTAAAAAATCTAGAAGTTGAACAAATGGCTAAAGAGTTAAGTTTCCAATTGGTAGATAAAAAGTATATTGAGGTGGTTCCCTTAGGATGCCGGAAAAGAACATCGATCATTACTATGCCTATTTGTTTACCCAATGGGATTGGATGAGCCAGTCCTCCTCATGTGATATGCTTCTTTTCAGATTAAAGAAAGTTGAGATTACATTTCTTTGCACTAGATAGACGTATTCATTTAGTAACCTTTACTGAATCTTGCCTCTGTTTACACTTATGTTTAATCATGTATGCCTATGCTGTTGATCAGAGTACATCAACGATACTGGTGTGCTAAAAAAGCAGAGTCCCAATAGATTTAGACCTTCTCTAACAAGGACGATATTGTTGCAATTTGACATTTAGTTTGACTATCATTTGATTATATATTCTGTGCAATGACACCATTATCAACAAAACTGACAACGACTGTAAAAATTCGAAAGTCATCTTGAACAGCAGTTAAAGACGTGAATACAAAAGCGATCTTCGCAGTAATGAACAGCACTTGAGCAGTAGTGAAAATAAGGCCTGAAAAAAAGAATCAGGCCTGTAAGGAATTTGAACCATGATCTTTACGACACCGGTGCAGTGCTCGACCAACTGAGCTAACAAGCCAACTGGGAGCTTATTATCATGTTGGTTCCAAAAAAACCCGTGAAGTTGTGAAACGATTGTGAATATATAAAACTCATATATTTGAACTGCCCTAAGCCAGTTAGCTTGTTAGCTCAGTTGGTAGAGCACTGCACCTGTATCGCAGAGGTCATGGGTTCAAATCCCGTACAGGCCTGAATTTTTTTCAGGCCTTATTTTTACTATTGTTCAAGCAATGTTCATAACAGCGAAGATCGCCTTCAAATCCACAAAACTGCTAACATCATGCTTTGTAAGTAAGGAATACACAATTAGTCGCGATTTCTGCTTGTCGTGACTGTAACTAACGCTGCCCCATACTGAGAAAATAACCACCTATGCAATATGCTAAATAAAAGTACCAGGTAATTTTACTTTCTCTCTGTAGACGCCCCAAAGATTGACATGAGACCTGTCAGTCAAACAGTGAATGAGTCTGATAACTTGGAGCTTTTCTGTAACGCCACTGGGCATCCAGCTCCTCAAATCACATGGTACAAGTTAGCGGACCCTTTAGTGCCACTCTCAAATGATACAGCCCTGAAAGTGAAGAATATAAACAGAACTGACTCCGGAGTTTATCGGTGCAGGGCTAGTAATGGAATTGGAACTGGTGTGTGCGCTTCAGCCAATGTGACAGTCAACTGTGAGTAGAAGTATCGATAAATATGAGACTGAAATGAATCAGAAATAGATTTAAGGCTATTTTCTCGAGCGAGCTCCTCCTGAATTCTAATGGATACAGTATTTGGTCCTTGTCTCTATAAATCCTCTTTAAACATAATTTATTGAGCCCCAAATGTGGCTGTTAGAAAAAGTTTTCATTTTCCTTTCCCTTGTATGGACACATTATTAGCCTTATTACTTTCGGCAACAAGTATGAAACAAACACACGTAGATATGTTGTTGATCAGTGTGCCTCAACAATTCAGGTGTACTAAATAAGTATAAAGTTTAGTAACAGTATTGCCTTTAAAAATAACAAAATCGTTGCAATTTGTAAATATCTAGTTCCACCATCACTTGATTATACTTCCGATGATACCACTGTCAACGAAACTGACAACGTCACGCTGTTTTGCAATGCCACTGGATATCCTTATCCACGCATAACGTGGACATTTTTGAGAGGATCAGAATCAGCAATTGTTGGACGTGAAGAATCTCTTCCCTTGTCCAACGTTAGCAGAACCCAAGCAGGAACGTATCAGTGTACGGCATCCAATGACTGGACTAGTTCAAAGGCAGCCAACGTACAAGTGACAGTAAACTGTAAGTACAGAAGTCAGTGTTGATCCACAATTATTCAGCTCAATTAATCGTTAGTTCTGCTTGTCCGGTCGGACTAGTTCTAAAGAAGACTATTGTTAACTGTTCAAATTCCAGCTTTGATAAAGAAAAATATCTTTTTTTTTACTGGCACCTTAAAAATTTCTAAAAGCTGATCAAACGGCGAAAGAGTTTAAGTTTCCTATTGGCAGATAAAAAGTATATTGAGGTTGTTCCATTAGGATGCCGGAAAAGAACATCGATCATTACCATGCATATTTGTTTACCCAATGGGATTGGATGAGCCAGTCCTCCTCATACGATGTGCTTCTTTTCAGTTTATACAAAGTTGAGATTACATTTCTGTGCACTAAATAGGCGTATTCATTTAGTTACCTTTACTGAATCTTGCCTCTGTTTACACTGATGTTGAAGCAAGTATGCGTATGCTGCTGATCAGTGTACATCAACTATGTAGGTGTGTTAAAAAAGCAGAGTCCCAATATATTCAGACCTTCTTAAACAAGGACGATATTGTTGCAATTTGACGTCATCTAGTTCGACTATCATTTGATTATATATTCAATGACACCATTGTCAACGAAACTGATGACACCATGCTTTGTAAGTAAGGAATACACAATTAATCGCGAGTTCTGCTTGTCGTGATTGTAACCAAAAGAACTACCTATGCAATATGCTGAATTAAACTACTAGGTATAATTACCTTGTCTCCGTAGACGCCCCAAGTATTAGCATAGGACCTATCAGTCAAACAGTGAATGAGTCTGATAACTTGGAGCTTTTCTGTAATGCCACTGGGCATCCAACTCCTAAAATCACGTGGTATAGGATAGCGGACCCTTCAGTGCAACTCCCAAATGGTAGAGCCCTCAAAGTGAAGAATATAAACAGAACTGATTCCGGAGTTTATCGGTGCGGGGCTAGTAATGGAATTGGAACTGATGTGTGCGCTTCAGCCAATGTGACAGTCAACTGTGAGTAGAAAATTATAGATAAATGTGAGACTGAAATGAATCAGAAATAGATTTAAGGCTATTTTCTCGAGCAAGCTCCTCGTGTATTCTAATAGATACAGTATTTGGTCCTTGTCTCTATAAATCCTTATTAAACATAATTTATCGAGCCCTAAATGTGTCGGTTAGAAAAAGTGAGCATTTTCCTTTCCCTTGTATGGACACATTATTAGCCTTATTACTTTCGGCAATAAGTATGAAACAAATACACGTGGACATGTCAACGGGGATATGATCAGTGTGCCTCAACAATGCAGGTGTACTAAAAAGACAAGGTCTAGTCACAGTATTGTCTTTAAAAATAACAAAATCGTTGCAATTTATAAATATCTAGTTCCACCATCACTTGATTATACTTCCGATGATACCACTGTCAACGAAACTGATAACGTCACGCTGTTTTGCAATGCCACTGGATATCCTCATCCACGCATAACGTGGACATTTTTGAGAGGATCAGAATCAACAATTGTTGGACGTGAAGAATCTCTTCCCTTGTCCAACGTTAGCAGAACCCAAGCAGGAACGTATCAGTGTACGGCATTCAATGATTTGACTAGTTCAGAGGCAACCAATGTACAAGTGACAGTAAACTGTAAGTACAGAAGTCAGTGTTGATCCACAATTATTCAGCTCAATTAATCGTTAGTTCTGCTTGTCCGGTCGGACTAGTTCTAAAGAAGACTATTGCTAACTGTTCAAATTCCAGCTTTGATAAAGAAAAATATCTTTTTGTTTACTGGCGCGTTAAAAATTTCTAAAAGCTGATCAAACGGCGAAAGAGTTTAAGTTTCTAATTGACAGATAAAAAGTATATTTAGTTGGTTCCATTAGGATGCCAGAAAAGAACATCGATCATTACTCTGCTTACTTGTTTGCACAATGGGATTGGATGAGCCAGTCCTCGTCATGCGATGTGCCAATTCTCAGTTTAGATTAACTTGGGATTGCATTTCTTCCGCACTAAATAGATGTATTCATTTAGTTACCTCCACCAAACCTCGCCTCTGTCCACATTAATGTTAAATCGAGCATGCATATGCTGCTGACCAGTGTACATCAACTATACAGGTGCCCCATAAAAGCAGTGTCGAGACATTCAGACCTTCAGACCTTTTCTAACGAGGACGATATAGTTGAAATTTGTCAATATTTAGTTCCACCATCCTTTTAGTACAAATCCGATGACACCATTGTCAACGAAATTGATGACATCATGCTTTGTAAGCAGGGACAACACAGTAAATCGTGTGTTTTGCTTGTTGGTGATTATAACTAACGTTGCCATACACTAAAAAAAGAACCATCCATGCAATATGCTGAACAAAAGTACTAGGTATCGTTGCCTTCTCTTCGTAGACGCCCCAGGTATCGACATGAGAAAGGCGATCTCTTTTTAATCTTTCTTATACATTCAATTGTTATTAACCTTGCGGGAGGTCTGTATGGGAGAGTCTTAAAAGAGGTTGGTAGCACGCGCCGATCGCAGAAGTGTCTGTACCAGCGACCAAGGTCAAGATTTTGCCACACGAACTGACCAACCTTGGTTAATAAGATATTTCTGCCATAAAAAAAATGAAAAAGGAAAAAACATGTGAAAATTTATTTGCTCCCCTGACTGGGCTCAAGAATTTATCTGGCTTACTTCTGACACTAACCCTCCAGCCCAAATAGGATAAGAATAACTGTTCAAATTCCACCTTCGGACAATTTTCGTTTAGTAATAAAGAAAAATACTTCCTCTTTTCATACTGGCTCATTGAAAAATTCTCAAAGGTGACCAATGTAGGAAGGATTTCAAAATACTTATTCATATGCTGTTAATTAACGTTAGAAGAACTTGTGGTCTCTTAATTCCTATCCTTGGATGTTCACTATTAAAATATGAGTGCTGGGGACGAAACAAATTGTACAATAAAGATGTAGTTTAACAGGAACGAGCGGTATAATGTAATAGCTTAATTACCTCTTATTTATTACGTTCTTATCAAGCTTAGGGAGGATATGATTTTTCCCTTGCTCAGTTAACTTCCCTGTTGGTTTTGCTATAGAAAATACAAATTTTTGCCTTGCCAAGTATTATTTCCGATTGTTGAAACCACCTTGTCGTTCCACACACCCTAACAGAAATCTTTTGATACTCGTCAATCTCAGATAGACCATTTGCGACCCGCCTGACATCGAATGCTACGAGAAACACAGCAATCAGTGGCCTACCGGTAACCTTTCTCTGTAATTCAGACAGTGTACCGCCTCCAGCGCTCGAGTTACGTTTCAAGAACAAATCATTAGGCCTTTTTAGTGGTAGAATGTTCACCATTGAACACGTCAATGCTTCAGACGAAGGAATGTACCAGTGTGTGCCGAATAACATTTTGGGAACCGGGAAAATAGCGACTCTGTACCTAACTGTAGCAGGTGAGAATAGGAAATGAAGACTTTGAGGTAGGACGTGTTAACAAGCTAAACTACTTTATTTCACGAATAAGGTTTTATCATTATTAAGGACAAAAAATTGATATAAAATATAGTTTATTTTTCTTTTTAGATTATGATGACAGATAGTGACCAATAATTTACTTTTTTGAGTGACATAATGTTAAAATTTTCCCACGCCGAAAGTGGATGAACAGAAGCAAGACTCCATCATACGATTAATTACTTTACCGAGATAAAATTTTTATTCTTTAACAGAAATTTTTCTTTGACCGTTTCAATTTTACTTGATTGTTGGCGACTTTGATTATGAAACGAGTATTTTTCAATCACTGACTTCAGTTGTTCCTTGTTAGCTACATTTACATCTTTTGACATCAGGAATTATAACAGTGCTCTATCGCTCTTAATGGCAATGTTGTCGCATTTTTTTCAACATTTAGTTCCACCATCATTTGAGTATATATCCAATGACACCACAGTGAAGGAAAATGATAACATTGTGTTGTTCTGCAATTCCACCGGACACCCTCCTCCACGCATAACGTGGACGATTTTAAGCGGATCAAAAGCAAGAATTGTTGGACATGAAGAATATCTTAACTTGTTGAATGTCAGCAGAACTCAAGCAGGAACGTATCAGTGTACAGCATCCAATAACGTGACAAGTTCTAAGACAACTAAAGTACAAGTCACGATAAACTGTAAGAACAGAATTATTGATCCGTTGTCATTTATCTTGATATTTTGACAAGCCTGATAGTCTGGGTGTTAGACGTCCTGATAAGGACTTCACAGTGACGGAGACTGATTTTGATTTTGATGTCTGTTTTGGTTTTGGAAACGTGACTCCCTGTCGCCGTCAACAGTCCTTTGCAAGACTTCCCTCGTTCAGACAACATGATCGATCGTTACTCTTAGGTTCTGAACAGAAAAGTACTGATTTACTTCAATCATAACTAACTTTACACGGTTTTCTTATAAAAGGGGAGGTCTCCTTCTTTAAAAACAGCTGAAATGGCCACAAAAATAAATTTCGGAATGCATTCCAATTATATTCAACCCTACATTTCAACTTAAAGATTTTAGAACTAGTCTGAATTAGTGATAGATGAACTAGTGGACAGGTGTCTTTGTTAGCAAAATTGATTTGCAAAAGCTCTCTCTCTATTTGAATGAATCCAACAACGGCTGCTTTCAGATTTAACATAGCCTTTTTATGGGGGGGGGGGTGAGGAGATATGGGTTTCTCAATGCTGCTTCTCTTGATTTGTCTTTGTGCTTGACCGGCAAACCGTAGATAAACCGGAGATCAAAGACACGGTCCAAACGACAATTTACACGTGGATTAACCGAGAAACCAAATTGACGTGTGCGGTGGATGGTGTTCCTCGGCCAAATATCACCTTCACTCGAGCTGGAAGTGTACTGCATTCTACGCCGTCTGAAGATGGCGCCAGTCAACTTATAATTAAACCCGAGGGTGCCGCTGACTTTGGTGACTACACATGCACAGCAAAAAATTATCTTGGTTCTGTACAAAAGATCATTAAAATAAAGCAACTAGGTAAGAAACGTTACGAATGAAACCATCTTTGTAGAAGTCTTCTAAAGTGACTAGTTTGTTGTAAGTAACTTACCGTACCAAAGAAATCTTAGAGAGAGAGTTGGGTTGCATTCATCATGTTCCCTTGATTAGGAAATGGAAGCCTTATGGTGAGTGGAAAAAAGGAATATCCCATTTAATTTTTCCGAAAAAATCCGCCAAAATGGCAAGGAAGAGCAAAATTTAGGGAAACTTTCTTATTCATTGCCAAATGGTTTTCTTCGATTTCAAGATAAGCGTTTACTTTCGGTGCTAATAACTTGCACACGGTATAGTTGCACCTGCAGCACCAGAGGGACTGGAGATTGAAACAGGACTTCACAACATGGAAGTTCGTTGGCAGACGTTAGAATCCACTCCTGATAGCCCTGTTGAAGATTATCTGGTAATTGTGGAGATGAGAGGTGAATCCGAAAGTCGGAAAACCTGCATTCGAGTCCATACGGGTAAGCGGCATCTTACGTGTGCTGTAAACGATCTTGAGAGTGGGACGGTGTATAGCGTGAAGGTTGCAGCCCGTAACAAGGTGGGCTACAGCGAGTTCGCAGAAAAGGAAGTCCAGACAGAGACAGAAGCCAAACCTATAACCAACACAGGTAGGTTGCTATGAGAAGAGAAAATAATTTAATTATTATTATACCGTGTAATGCAAAACATGTTTCTTCACTTGTTTTTGACCGAAAGCGAACGTGTATTTATTGTGTTTGCAGCAGTTGCTATAATTATGTTGCAGTCCAATCTGTGTGATCTGAATTTAGGAGAGAACTCTGTCAAAAGGCCCAGCTTTCAATCACTTAACATTCAAGACCTCCTTGAGTATATGTCAACTTAGCATATCAGGTTAATTGTAAAGTAACGAGATTATTTTAGATGAGGAGAAACACATCTTTTTTGGTGGAAAATATCACATATATTTCTTATTCTAGAACACTGAAATCTAGAGTGCTCAACTGAACTCCAAGTTAAACTTCATAACACTGCTCTATCGGTGTTAATTGTGAATCTGAGACTGTCATTAAATGAACCCCAGAACAAAGAAAAGTTCATAGCTTTTCTCTCAATATCGTCGTTATCTTATTAACGGTGTTATTCATAGCAGACTCTGTTGTAGGAAACTTAATTTAGCATTTCCTTGACCCTTTGTTATATGCAATTATTTCACGATGGTAAGCAAACAAACTCTCTATTTCAGTAAAGAAAGAATTCCAGGAGCAACATCAACAGGAACACTTGTCAAATACAGTCATTGATGGCATTATTGCAGGAGTTCTTATTTTCTGCAGTCTGGTAGTGGTAATTTTTGCGATTCTCAAACACAGGCGACCCTGTCATCCAGGTTAGTTGTCTCGAAGCTTTTCTTGACGAAGATGAAAAAAATTGTGTAAGGAAATTATCCTCTAAGGAATTTACCTCACGTCGATGGTCGGATCTTAGGCCAATTTCTCTGAGAGTACTTTTCCGTGGAGCCTGCTCCAAATATGCCCCAACAGATAGTCAGATCTAAACAGATTATATCATCTTAGGGAAGTAACCAGTACTCGAAATCGGCGCAACAGAGTGACTGAATTTCGTTATGATGTGTAAATCTTTCTAATAGTTAAAAGGAGATGCGAGTTTCTTTTAATGAAACGCAGAGCATGAAAATAAAACCAAATGGAGTGTCTAATAAATGTCGAAAGTTCATTAAAAGCCGCTTAAGAGTACTAAGTCAGGAGAACCCTATCCCTAATCTTAACCACTACAGAGCAACCGAACTGAAGACTGAAACTGAAACTGAAACTTGCCCAGTCAACATATTTCTAAGATAAAGGTGTAATGTTGTATAGTTTTAAAATAGTTACATTTACTTTTCTTTCAACTTCTCAGTATGCAAGAAGGAAAGACAGGATTTAAGGTACAACCACATTAGCCTCTTACTGTAATTATCCATACCAGTGGGTAGTCATAAATGTATTACATCAACGTGTCATGAAGAAAAAGCCGGCTTTTCATTCTAAACAGCCTCTAGTTGGCGTAAAAAAACTTGCTCGGATGTTTGTCCGCAGTCATTATCCCTTCCGAGAAGCTCACAGTTTTCCTCGAGCGATAAATTCGCGCTAAAGGAGGCTGTTGTTGATGTAACCTCCATTTTGCTTGAATTAATCTCTTTTGTTTGTTCATCTGCCAACTGTTCTTCAAAGCTCACAGTATCTTTTAGAGCAAATCTCAGAGAAAACAGTATAAGCCGAAAGTTTTCCCTGAGCTTTGTTCTCATATGACTGTTCACTTCTCAGAACAAATCGTGTCCGCAGACAAATCTTCGCACCTATTTCCGCATCAGGTGAAGCCTAGTGTCCGTGTAATTTACAATTGATCCGGTTGTCAGAGTGGGTCTTCTCTATGTCATTAGCGTAAGATGACCTAGGATCTGAAAATTAATGTTCATATCCACGCTATAGATGCCCGTATGTTTTGCAACGTATTCAAACTTTCATACCGATCCATCCTAAGAGTCATAAGATTAAACTGCGAATTCTAAGGTTTACGTCGTGTCGCTAAGACTGACTACAGCTTTACGAATAGACTGATATGATTATTTACTTTATTACAAGCTCTGAGGAGTGCAACGAGGGGCATGATAATCCAGGATGCAGTTCCGAAAATCCGGTAGCAGATGAGATGGAGGTAAGTTACCAGAGCTAACTTGTATTGTTTTAAGCTAGATGGTTTGCTTCTCAGCTCCGATCTGGTAACTTGTGACGCGCATCTAATTAAAAGCATTCCGTTGGGACTAATAAAACACATTCTGTATCCGGAAATTGGGCTAATAAAACACATGTCCTGCTATTTACTAAGCAGCGATGTTCTACAAACAGAATATAAATCACGTGTTGGGCCTTGCTCACCATAGAGTCTCTGTGGCTTAGTGGTAGAGCATCAGAGCGCGGAATCCGAAGTTCTGTGGTTCGATTCCTCGTGGGGACTTAGAATTTTTCTTTGTCCGACGCTCGTGACAAGACGAAAAACATCTTTCTCTAGAACATTTGTTATTGCAAATTGGGCTAAATATAAACGTTAGCTTTGTTTGCTTGAAATGCGAAATAGTCTACTGAGAAATGTATAGTGTTCCTGTCTTACGTGGTTTGTGTTTGTTTTTTCTTTTTTTTTGGCAGGAACGAGTGTGAAGTTCATAGCCTGCATCAGCCCTCTCATTGAAGGGTGCACCATCGTCTCGATAAATAAGGAAACAGTTATTATTTGCCGCCTGGGAAGGGGAGGGGTTGGAGATTTTGATTGTGTCCCGATAAAATTGACCTGATCCCCGCCTCCCCGAAGGCTCTGTCACTTATGATTACCCTCCCCCTCATTGGCAGTTGATTGGCAGTAAATGTTCTACAGTCCTCCTTAAACTCTGTTGGCGACCCTTCCCCTTCAAAACTTTGTGACCCCCCCCCCAAAAAAAAACCTTCCACCCAGCCCTCCCTCAGGTGATAAATAATGACTTGTCCTTAAAGAAAGATTGTAAAAAATGCGTATAGCTGCCCCCCCCCCCATGCGTTTAACACGATGTTTGTACATTACTTGTAGTTCCTTCCTGTAAGAACCGAACGTTAACTACATATTTCTGTATAGTTATTTAATAGCTGGCATTGCCATAGAGATTAGGATACCGTCATCATTTGAGGTGTCAAGACTAACGAAGTTACAGCTTGTGTATATCAGTTAACACTAGATACCTGGTTTGTTGCCAGAAAGGAACAAAAAAAAAAGAAACGCTGAAACGTCTTCCTTTTTTTGCATTATGTTCTGACGTATGAAGCTATGCTGAGAAACATGTTTTTTAAAAATAAGTGGATAAATACACAACTGGAACTCTAAAAGTTTTACAGGAGTTAGAGTAGAAGATAAATATTGAAGTGTGCCTGATTTCTGGTGTGTGCATTCTAGGTTTCACCGTGTTACATGCTTAAAAGTGCATCATCTTGTTGGTTTACTCGTTTAATTAACCTTTGTCGAGTTTTCTTGTAATCTTGCTTGCAGTGCAAATTACTTGGATAACATCTATAAAACTGCTTTCTTTATGCTTATTTTGTATTGCTTAGAGGTGTTGATTATGAAGGATTCTTTCATCGAATTTCTATCTCTCTCCACCGCTTATGATTCGATTCTCTGTCAAATTATCCCTTGACCATTCATATGTTGTTCAGTAAAAGCGTGTTCGGTCCTCCAATCTGTACCTCAAAATAAGTATGACATTTACAGCATGCATTCTTCCCGGGAGCTGACCAGGAGATTATCACTATATTCCAAGGTGAATTCCTTGTGGCAATCGACTCTCAAACCAAGCAAGTTGGCAGTCCTAAGGTGATAAGGGCTTTGTAATACAGAAAGGTCACAGCAATGGTAAAGCAAAGCAACGCTTCAATTTCTTTTATAAGTACTTCCTTACCTACGCTTCCTTATTCAGTAAATACGCGCACCATAAATTTTGACTCCCGAACAACATTAAACAAAATAAATCAGTCGTATTAACCCTACCATGAACTCCCGTGAGTGACGAGAATGAATTTCTCTTGACAATATCAATATAATATCAAGTAAACCGGTATAAACCGGTATAACTTATGCGGAGGCCACAAAAAAACCTCTTTGAGGAAAAAAATATGACAGGAAATCTGGGTAGGAACTATGGCCCAAATTCAGAGCAGTTAGTAGCCCATCCTACGAGGCTTCATAGTTAAACAAAATAAGTTTTTAAACAAAAATAAATTTGGCGTCAGCCAAAGGTGCAAGGTTGGTTCTGAAGCCTAGATGGACATCACGTGCCATACTCTCCCCATCGTTACCCATGATTCTCGGGCCTAACTTAGTCCCAGGCCTTGTCGTATCTCGTGCCGACAAAATATTTATTTCTGCCTTATTCGCAGACTCAATCGTCAGAAATACCATTTTCTTGAGCTTGGACGATTTGGACCATAAGCCAAGCTCTAAGTAAAAGTCAAAACACAACCTAGTCAACTTATTTCGCAATCCGTTATTTACTTAAGAAGGGATACATCCAACCAATACAATAAAAACAATCGAAGACTCTCATCCGATAGTTGTAACACGCGATAATATTCCATGTCATGCTATTTTTAAACCATAAACTAGTGTTAAAGAGAAAATCACAGAAGTATCCTACATGGTGTTTTTATCTATTAAATTAAGAGGAAATACTATAGAAGGTCACTGATTTGAACTTGTTTTTACTCAAATTTCCGCTCGCTCAAACGCAAATTCTTTTTCTTTGAAGTACGTTTTACAGCCACTCTTTACCAGGTAACCTAAACTCCGATCCAGAGCGTCTCGCAATGTATTTTTCTTTAAAATTAGAGTTATGCAGGTAAAAAAGAGTAGAAACGCTTATTTGACGGAATGTTATGAAAATGATTGCATAACTTAAGTTTTAGTATTGAAATTAACCGTGATATTGAAAATTCTATATTTCATTGTGTTTCTTGTACTTTTTTAGAGGGAAAATGGTAGTTCGGTTATGTCTCTAAGTAAGAACTGTAAGACACATAGATGGAAAGAAACTGCCTGTCTTAAGCAATTGTTAAAGAGAGCAGGCTGCCAGTTTTCTTTATGTCGAATTTTGCTTCTGCTCGTTGCTCAAAAAGTTCTACTAGGAGCCAATATACACCATTTACTTGCATAACAAACAAAGATATTTTCGTCATTTACAACGAACACGCTGATCAAATACACCTGACCGATAGAGGCCATACACTACATGTACCTTTATAAAATTGCCTTTAAAATACAATTGTGGGGTAATTGAAAGCGTCACTCATAAGAAGGTTAAGCCACAGGTTTGGATTGAATCAATCATCAAAAGAAGCAGAGTTCCATCGGGGTGACTCATCTGAGCGGGACAGGTTACTCTCAGGGAACAGACGAATAGTTTTTTTAATAATTCTAAGAAGGACGGGTTACGACACCGAATTCAATTTTGAAACAACAACTGATTTCTTCAAGCAAGTAACCAAGCGGGATGATACTTATGACTTGGATTCAAATCTTAACATACTTAAATCTCGCTATTCTTCTTCCTGACGGAGGTAAGTATAAATCTGTGACTTCCCTACACAACGCTCTTTCATTCTATTCAGATTTCATGTTCTATATTTTTCTCAGCCATTTAAATTTTCGATTTATCGTCAACATAAGCAAACGTATTTACTTAACTGAATAAATATTTTGTACGAGTACCGCTGACTTTTTTGTCTTAGCAGGGGAAATAAAGGTGGGTCGCGAGTCACCACAATAGCAGTATAAATGTTACATATCGGGGTGTTCTTGGTCAGTGAGATGTGATTAGAGCCACCAGGGGCTCAAAACTGGCCTTCGCTTGCGATTGGCTACCTCAAAGCACGAAGTGTCTTTTCTTATGTCTATTTTTCCAAGAACTGGTAATATCTCAAACTATTCGTGACTAACAATGGGAAATATCATGTTTGTTATTTTCTTGTCTTGTAGCGTGTTTCACATGGATACAAGAGCCAGAGAAACCAACTCAAGCTCATCTGGGTTCAAGAACTGTCCTCCGATGGAGCTTTGAGTCTGTTGATGACACCTTTTTGTTTCTCTTGATATCTAAAAACAATTCCTTGTATGGTGAACCAAAACAGCGGGAAATTGTAACAAAACTGGCAAACGGAACCATATACATTTATGATGAGTTCAAAGATCGCGCTGAGTTACTAAACCAGACTACACTTGTTCTAACTGGAATACGAAATGATGACGATGGAAACTACTGCTGTCAAGCTTTCTTCTTACAAGGAATGTACACAAGCTGCGTGGATTTACTTGTGCTAGGTATGGTGACTCAGTGAAATGATTTTTGTTCTACCAATTTATCTTGGACTGATCCTAAGTGAAGCAAGATACAGTGCGAAACACACAAATAGAGCTTCCGGGATCAGTTCAGGGTCGCTCGTCTTGCTTCAGCAGACATTAAACCTAGAAGTCAGTCATTACAAGATATTATAAAAGGTCATGCCAGTTTACAATCTCTTGGTCAGTACTCTACCCACAAAATGTCCCCCTATCTCACAAATTGTGGCGCATCATGATTTCCGAATTAGAGATATTTGAGTTTCCTTAACTCTGACCTATTTTCGATCTGTAGAAAACTTCAATCTTTCTAAAGTGTGCCTTTTAGCCTAGTTATAGCGAGTTTCTTTCTTGTAGTCATTAAGATTTCTTTATCCGATTCCTACACCATTGTAATTTCCTCCTGCAATGCAGCTGTCCTTTACTTTCTTTTATTTTCAAACATCAATACAACTTAATAAGAGTGTTTTCGATGATTATGAATCTTAATTGGTCATGCCAGACAAGTACGTCGAGTCTACTTCTGAAGAAGGTTGGATGCTGGTAACGTTAAGTTGCAGAAAGAGGCTGCAAAAAAATCGTGTCTGCCCCGATTCCCAAAGCTGCGTCCGCAGTGGATAAGCCATTCTCCCTTTTAGACTTGAAAAGCTTAAGGAGCAAGAAAAGTGTCTCTAAATCATGTTCAGACAGAGACCACCTCAAGGCATTCACCTGATTTGTATGGTTGGATATATATCCGCAAAAATAGAATGCCTCAAGGCTCTTGGGCCTAATTATATTATTCAAAATTGAATGGAGGCAACCATTCAGTTTTGAAACATTACTTCCGACCCTTAGACATTAAAAGCGGCGTTAAAAGAAAGGCTTTATCTTCACTTCCCCCTCATCGATATTCTCCACCTCCTTGCCAATAAATCAGCCTTTTGGGTCCTCAACCGAAAACGTGTACCTACACACAAGATCGGGAAAGAGACTGTTCTTCCATTAGCAAAACCCGTCCTTTGCCGGAGGCAAGTGCATCGGTAAGCTTACGTGGGAGAAAGTAGAGGTGACAGCTTTAGGGCTATGTTACAAGGATTTTGAAAACCTGATATATTTCTAAACATCAACTCAAAGAGCTGGGAAGAAGAAGCAGCAAGAAGCGATCGACGTCGAGGGAAGAGAATATGCCGAGCGGACTGAATAGGAGAGAACCAAACAGAAGGAAATCAACTGTAGCAACAGCCTCACAACCCGCGATCATCTTACTCTGTCGAGACTGTCGTTCATGCCTTGGTCTTATCAAACTAAAGTCGACGATGTTTCAGCCACTTTGGCGCATCAATTATGATCCACGCCGACCGAAGGAGGACTTCAGTACCATACAAAATTAAGGGAGCAAAATTGAGCGCACTAGCAATACCTTGTTTGGGTTTGAATCAATTTGTTATTTGCAATATTTAATGGCGATCCTTTCTGGAAATATTTTTCTTCACATTTCTTACCGATATTTTCAGTGAACCTTCATTTGCATCAATGTCTAAATCTCTTAAACCACTTCCTAACTTTCTTCATTACATCACAAGCTCCTTTCGGTTCAGTGGCCAGTTATTATGGATGTAAACAGCATATAAATGTTTAGAATCACAACTTATGTCTTCCCTTTACAAATAACTGAGACTTGAAAATCTAAATTAAGTTTATGACTGAAAACCAACCACTACTTTAACATTTGCATATTTAGTGGCTTTGTCCTCTTCATAGGAACAACGCTGAATTACAGCAATTTGAAAAATAAGATAAATAACTACTACTTGCCAACTTGAACAGATGATGTCACCCGATATCATTCTACACTCTCAACAATTATGGCCACGAGTTCTGCCTTTACCATGTCTCAAGTTTAGGAATAAATTCATTTTTATAATAGCTATTTTGGTTTGGTGATGATGCTCCCTTGCTGATAAGATGGAATCGTGTTCATAATTAGTCCATATTCAAGAGAATATATTTAAACGTCGTCGCCGTTCTTATTTTGTTCATGAAATCTTTGTCGATCCATTATGGTAAAATAATCATGGTGACCACAACATGTACACCAGAGACAGATGAAGATTCCTGTTATACAGATCAGAAGCGCAATTACAGATAATAACGAGTGGAATTCGTTATAATGATCACCTCTAAGTCTCTTCTCTGCGCCAGCTTCTGCGTCACACAGCGATAGCAGATTGCTACAAAGCACCACAAAGAAAATGTCACCCACAATACGTCTTCGCTTCTTCCTGATATGGCTCTCTGAGTGTTTTGTTTCTGGGTTTGTGTGAGAATTCGTAAATTTTTCAATCACTTTCCACGACTTAGACTGGTAAGGAAACATCAGTGATGGCATCTTTGAAAGTTCTAGTGCTGAATCATTTTCCAGTGTGTCACGAAGTCGAGATACAGTGAGAAGGCCTTAATTTCAATTACAAGGAAAAATCGATCAATTTGTCGTATGTAAAGTTGGTCACCCACACATAAAAAAGTTCATTTGACCGAGTGTCAAATACATTGATCGGAACGTGACATCGCTTAAAAGGAACTTTTGGCAACTGCTGTCTTATCAAGACCTTTGTTTTAACAAAAACCGAGATCTAATAACGTGTCTGACAGTTTACATTTTGTTCTGGATGCCTGGCAGGTGAGTTTCGCATCTAATCTCCTGAATTCAGCCACCAGCCACGTTTGTTGTATATTACATATCTATATTGAAAATACTTCTTCTTATTTCTTTGACTGAGGGGCCCAGCTGTGACGTTGTTCGTCTGTCATTGTCAAACATTGACTATAAATATTTTATATTTGATAACTTAGAGCGAGTCGGTTTTCTTCTTCATAACACGGAACATAAATAAAGAGGATATTATTCCAAATGGAATCCATCTGAACGATCTTATTTCTTTTGCTAATCTGCTTCTACGAATTCTTTATGATATAAAAGAGGTTTACCAAACGCAGAAATCGACAGAAATCATTAACTTTTGAATGGGTGACTTTTTCGCCTCCAGCAATGCTTTATCTGTAATAGCTATTGGACTAAACACTAAACACACAAAATTATGCAGAAAAACGTTTTGGTGTAAACAATTTCCAATTTATTCTAATATCATTATTATTCATACTTTCTCTAGGATATGTTTTAGCTAGCAATTGTTAAGCAAAACGTAAAAAACAACGAAATAAGGCAAAAGAGGTTGTCGAATATTATAATGGCTAAATGTACTTTGGTAAAAAATGTGCAATTGTTAATTGTTGTGTTTTGTCTTGAATAAAGCTTTGATCCATGGCTAGGCTTTCAAACTAATTTTTTTGGACTGAATGAAAATTTTGTTAATAGTAAACATAAGGAAGAGGTTTTTTATTTATTCTACCTTTTCCTTGGAACTCTGACAGGGTAAAAGTTCATACAATGATTTCGTATCACAAAGACAGAACAAATACTTCACATTTAGCAGCTCCTCCCTTACATATGAGTCTAAAAAATGACCTCGGGAAATAGGGATTCGTTATCCAATATTACTTTAACTTTTATGCCTCAGGTTATCCAAGGTACCTAATAACTAAGATTTTCATATTGCCAGTTTATGCAGCTGATCAACTGATACCCTGATTAACAATTTCAGGGATGTCCTCTGCTCGCCTGAACCTTGCCATACTCAAAGTTGAAGCAAGGTCCAAGAAATTTGTTTTTCTTTCGCCTTTGCAGATGATCCTTTAATATATTTTGGCAAAACCGAAACTCTTTCGGAGTTCACCGCTTACAATTAACAGTTGTGCACTAATGGAAGATGATTAAAGCGGGCGTGAAAACGGAACTAAGCCAGGCAGATAATAGAAGAAATATCACTTCTACTCAAAGACCTATTTTTAGAAATAAAGGAAACACAATGAATTATTTGCCAAACTTCAAACTGTTCAAGGAAAATTGTATATACTTTCGCACGCTAGGTACAATATTTTCGTGTAATAATTTTTCGATAAATAGATAAAAAGAGAAACTCAGCCAAATAAGATTACATTTTGCAGTGCTTGGTTATTCTGAAATTAATTGAACAAACTAATAAGAAGAGATTTACTGTAATATTTGATGACAAAGTTCAACGCTAGAATTTTATCGAAATATCTAAAACTCTAAACACTTTACAAAATTGTTCGTAGAATATTTTCACGACGTTTCGACGTTGCTTCACGTCATCTTCAAATCCAAAGTGTGAATGACAAATGAAAATATCTGCAATAGGGAGAGTGTTTTTGTCGTTAGAGTATATATGAAATAATTACGAAATGTTAGATAGAGTTTGGCGCATGTCGAGTCTTCGAGTCTTCCTTGTTATCGAAGATATGTGGACGACACGCTAGTCACAATGCACACCACAGAATCAACAACAAAGTTTATCCAAGCACTTAATGATGTCCACTCATACTTGGCTTTTACCGTGGAGCTTGAAGAAGAGGGCTCTATCGTATTCTACGGCACAATTATTAGAGCCTATGAAAACAGCTAAACTACTGAAAACCAACTTACAGGCCCTCTATTACGTTTTCAGAGACGCGTCGACAACAAGAGAAGATTGGTAAACAGATAATTGATCGTTCTCGCGAGAGACGCTCCCTTAACTGAGCGCGTCAAGCTTTGCACCATGTTTTAGAATTTGCGCTTTTTCCTTAATTTTGATTGATGGAGTTTTGATTTGAGCTGAGTTCATAGACGGCAGTGTAATAGCTGAGCGTCATATATAATTCGGTGTGTTGTGGTCATCATTTCAATTGCAGAAGAGATCTAACGCATAAACGTTGTCTATTCTTTCTGCCCTGTTATGAGAACGCCAATGCTTAAACTTGGGCTTACTGCAGACTAAAAAAATGTTCCTCACGGTGAATAAGTGTTGCTAACGAATTAATTTATCATTTTTAGGCCACAAACCGATGAACACATCATTTATTTCCTGTTCTGCTGATAACACAGTGTGGGTAAATGATGGCATTGTTTTCAGCTGTTCCTCAATTAGCAGTCCATCTCCTGCAACATATGTCATATACCATAACGGCAAGAAAATAAAGAAAAACAGATCTGGATATCACAAGATATGTAACGTCAAGCGACAGCATGCCGGTAATTACACTTGTCAACCAAGGAACACTTTTGGGAACGGGGAAAGTAAGAGCATCCGTTTAACTGTGTATGGTGAGTGCTGAGTACGCATAAGTCAAAGTTAACACAGGGGCTATGGTTACGAAGTCCGACAGGTTTCTTAAAAGTTTCTGTCAAGTTGTTTTCGGACCTGGGTTTTTACTGTCGTGATTAACTAACCAACCAATGGAACACTCGATTGATACGTAGCACCAAAGTTGTTTGACCACAAGAGCAAAATATGTAATAAACAAGTGAGACAGATATATTTGGAAAACGCCACGATTTAGTTTCATAGAAAAGCTTTAAGCACGGAGTGTTTTGTCCTTACTTACCAGAAAAGCTGGCTGTGCATGCGATTCCACGTTGGCGGAATGTGACAGAGGGGCGTGCTGCACGTTTTGAGTGCAGCGCCGCAGGAAGCCCACCACCCAACATTACATGGACATCCCTGTCCACTGGAAAAGTTTACAGCGGAGGTCTCCTGTTGATAAAGTCTGTCCAGCGAAATGACACAGGAGATTATCAGTGCTCGGCTTCTAATGGGCTATCGGCACCCACCAAAGACATCGTGTTTTTGAACGTACTCTGTAAGTAAACCTCTTCTAGAGGGTGCAAAAGACAACTATCCTCCTTGGGAAATTATGAGAAGTAGTAGAGACCGGAATTTGTCCTTTGATTTAAAGCTCAAAACAAAAAAGGATGATATTAACAAGGAAAGGGAAAAATTATGAAACTATTTATCAACTTGCCTTCTGGAATTTCGCAGATCATAACTCATATAAATCGTAGAAGGAAGTTTTTTTTAGTATCTTTGCTTTTTCGTCATTTCTCAATGACTAATCATTTAACAGTATATATCACTAAAACGCCATGGAAAAGCTTTGTTGTAACAACTGTTTCTCATAAAATGAAGTGCAACTACTCTTTTTCTAATTATGCTTAAGACCCCCCGACAATCACCGACACCGCGGGGCCAAACGTCAATGTTAAGGAAGGTTACAAGCTCACCCTCTATTGTCATGGTAACGGAAACCCTCGACCAGTTTTTACCTGGAAATTGTTGGGTACCAATCAAACGTTTAGCGGTGGAGACGAGCGCAATATTATGTTGAATGCACAGAAGTCTCACGCTGGAGTTTACCTTTGCACGGCGAGCAACTTCTTGGGAAACGTCTCCAAAACAATTACAGTAAATGTCTGGTGTAAGTACGAGTATATTCAATGGTTATGTGTCAAAAGCATTATTACTAGTGAGAGAGTGTCAGACAGTATTCACTTCTCTTTAGTCGAACTATATAGCTGCTCAGCTATGGTTGCTCGGATGATTGTCAGAACAACCGAATTTTTTTCAATTATGTTAAATCATAATTCAGAAATCTCAAAAATAATGCCGCTAACAAGTTTGAAGTTGAGGTTTTATTTGAAATCGTCAAACATCGCCACAAAACTGACCAATCACGAATCAGTTGTATGATGCTCGATTTTCAAACAACTCCTCTCTCGACTTTGCTGTGGTTATCGAAACGTCAGTCACTGTCACGGAAAACACTGCTGTCACGATTATTCTCATCAAAATGATCAGACCAGCCGATCAAAAGCCTCTTTGCTCAAACTAAGTCTTTGGAAACAACCACTATCTGCATGCATTCGCATTCGTTCACAATTTCGCTAAAGCACTGAAAATCTTTTCTACTGAGAAAAGTCTTCGCCGACGGCTCTTTAATTCAAACTTAATGCTTGATGATGATTAATTTACGCTAATCAAAAAGCTGTAAAGGATTCAGTTCGCAAAATTTTCATTTAGGAAACCTAGTTTTCCTCTCCAAGATAAACCAAAAGTTTATCAGGAAGGAGTGACCTCAGTTACCGTGTGGATTTGTTGGGAAACTAGAAAACATTTCTCAGGCCAAACAATTTTAATAACAACTAAGGAGAGTTTTTCATCTCCTATTTCCATTATTGACTAAGTGACTTACTCAATCGATAGCAAGTCCAGTTCGTCCAATCCTAACCCATTTGGAATGCGGAAGTTCTTTCATCCGAGTCTCATGGAAAGTCCTTTCACAAGAAGAGGGGAGTTTTGTTATAAGTTACGTGGCTCAAGCGATCGACCAGGACAACCCCAGAAATGTTTTTAACTGTTCTGACATAACTATCAATCACTGCATCATTAAAGGACTCCAACCAAACACAACCTACTTGGTTCGAGTGTACTCAACAAATGTGGCTGGACATGGTGTTTCTGAGTACGAGAGAATTACGACAAAAGGGGAAGGTAAGTAGGTTGATTTTCGAAATATTTGATTAGGAATTTTCATAACTTGAAAAAAATCAATTATTTGTTAGTTTGAAAAGTTATACTGAGGAAAAACTAAGGATGTCTATAGGGACAAAGAAGCAACAAGGAACAGACAACAAAACAAATGAAGGACTTTCGACCACTACGTTGATGACAGTGCTAGCAGCTGTTGGAATAGCCATTTTCGTTGTACTCATTGGGACACTGATTGCCGTGAGGCGCACAAGGTCTGTTGGAAAAGGTAAGCAACACGACAGAGGCTTAAAAGAGATCAGCCAGTTCAATTACCGTCTAGAATTCTTTGGATCTCCTGTCAAACTTTTCTTTTTTTAATCTTTTTCAAGGAACAGTTTCGAACAATTGAGTCCCAGGCGTTTCAGTTTCGACTTTGGTGTTGATAATCAATCGGACACAAAAGACATATCACTACGCTAACAATACTGGAACTTCAGAGGAAACCAAGAACCACAAAATCTAATTTGCACTACCAGTTGAACATTAATTATTCCACGATCTATATTTTGCTGTACTGTAATTTAACTGTTTCTAATAAGTTTATATCTTTTAGGCGCCCAATTTGCTCAGGACTGTGTATATATTGAACTATAATAATTTCTCCTTGGCTTAATCCATCTTGGATGATTTAATTTCCACGGAATTTCCTTTCCGTCCAGCATACTGGCTCACTCGGCTTTCTGTATTCTTCTGGCTTTTGTCTTCTTTTGTTTAAATTCCTTCCTCCATTCATTTTGACCATTTACTGTAGATTAAAAAAATGCAGGTTTCAAACATTATGAGGCCTTTCTCGTTTGATCGTCAATGAAAAGTTCGTTGTCAGGAAATAAAACTTATAAAAGTAATATTTTCTTGCCTGAGCAGTGGGCTTCAGGAACACTCTCCTTACTCTTATTAAGGAAATGTATGGTTTGGATACCCTTCTGAGGGAGAATTCGTTGCTAATTTTATCTCAATACAAATCTCTCCGTGCACCAAATACCCCCCCCCCCCTCCCAAAAAAAAAGGAAAAAAATAAGAACTTAACACCTTGTAAGTGATGAGATAACCAACCTTCGCACGCAAGTGCTGTTATTTAGTTTTGTCACTTTTGGTGAAAGCTCTTTGCGTAGAACAAATTTGATGATCATTCACTATTTGTCACTGGAATTCAAACGCACTTGCCTCAAACGCAAAAGTCCCATAGCCATAGCATAGTCCCACAATATCATTAAAAGCCCTCATCTTTTCATAAATATAACCTACTTCAAATACAGAGTTCAAATTTCTGTGTTCAGCTTAATTCTAAGATCCCAGGTGCTATATGACTTGAGCTGTCTGACAGATCTCGATGTAGCCTTATCATGAAACTGCTGTTTCAGCGATTGGTAAGCAATACATTGGTGATCTGAACGATCTAGTGAAGAAAAGTGTTGAACATTTTGTTATGTTATTTATATTTGTAAGAATTTGATCCAGAATATTATTGCCACAAGTCGGAGATTTGGTGATTTTACAGAGACCAAAATCTCTGACATACATACATTCATACATATATAACTATTAACCTAGAATTTACAGAGTAGCACTCAAATGCCGATATCTTCGAGCTGGTTACATTAATAACTTATTACGAAAAAGAGTTAATTCTATATAACAAGCAAAATAACTAACTACCTAAATAAGTATTCTAAATTAACTTAGCGTGTACACCAAGTTAATTTAGCAAGTATTTAAATACTGCAATACAAGATTAAAATTCACTCCTTTGTTCAAAATTATAAGAAGATGTTAGTCGACGAAAAATATCATGTTTTGTAAGCGCTTATTCTAAAGGTTTACAGTTCCTGTTCTTTTAAGTAATTTATCGTAGCCAGACGTCAAGTCCTTGAAACTAAATCGAAGAGCACGTTTATTTAGGGGGTCCAGATTAGAATCTTGTTAACTGGAGAAATGCCATACCATGGAACAGTAGTGGAAGTAGGGAAGTATAAATGCCTCATAAATACGAAGCTTGGTTTCAGTAAACATCAGTTTGCCAGATCTTGTCATACTTGAACGCTTAACTGACTGTTTATTTTTTTACGCAAAGAGAATACATGCTTAAATTGTAACGCCATAGAGATCCACTGATTCATTCTCTGACAACTTAAACTGATGGTTAGTGTTTCATTCCTTGATGTTTGCTAGAATTGGCTATCACTCCATTGATCTCGTATCAGGCTTTTGCTGAGTTAACCTTACGTGAGAAGACCGGATCCATACATATTTAATTGTACAGTTTCCAATTTATAGGAATAAATGATTTAAAAATATATTACAAAAAACATTGGTGCAAGAACATTGCCCTGTGGTACCCCTCGCCTAGCCCCTTGCCAATCTGAACATGTGTCACCTACTTTCACCTGCTGCATGCTGCTGCGTAACGGTAATCTTCAAGAAGCTTACAACTTCTGCTGTTAACACCATATGCCTTTAGCTCGGCAAATAAATCAATTTATATTACCGCAACAATCTGTTTATCATCTAGACTTCACTTCTAGTTTCTGTTAATCTCATCAGCGTGGTTTCACTAATGTAGTGTCTCCTATAAGCTAAGGTGTAGTAAGGCAATATTTCAGAATAGAATTGGTCTAGATGAGATGTAAGAAATTTCTCTAAAACATTTTTTGGGGCTGACAAAGTTCATCTTGCTTGAGCATACCAAATGTTTGTCAAAGGAGGTTGTCAAGCTTAAGTTATTTACAAAAGTTATGTCATTTTTACTAAGAAAGGAGAGGACAAAAAATATTCCAAGAAATTATGTTAACCTTTCGGCAAATTTTCAAGGAAGCGCTGCAAAAACTGAGCGGATGAACACAAAAGCTAACAAGAACTTGAAACATAGCTAACATGCGACGATCGTTGTGTTGAAAGAGAAGTCGATAAACGTTGATGAATTAATTTACCCACCATTCATTAAAGCTGAGAGAAACAAATGGATATATTTTGAGAGCGGAACAGTTAGAACGGTGCTCTACATAAGTTAGGAAAAAACCTTACATACGCCTTGAGACGTAATTTTGCCTCTTAGCTTAGGCATCGAAAAGTAATGTGTTTACGAGGAGCAGCATTTTTTCTTGGCCACTTTTTTAAACGCAGATGGCGTTTTTTATTAATTTTGGAAAGGTCAATAGCTCATGAAACTCGGACAGACTCAGTATGAAATACAAGCACGTATTTGTTCTAATTTGTGATTCACGCCATGAATAAATTCATTTCTCAACTCTACGTTGCCCAAGTTCAAAGAATTCTTTCAGTACACCATGAGCTCAACCATCAAGTACGTATACAGCAAAGGCTGAAAATGGTGCGAGAAACAGGAAAAATATTTTTAACGATTCAGATGTTGTCTCCATGATGAGTCTTAATTTTGACAGGTGGTGTCATCGCATCAGGAAAAGAAAACAAACTGAGAAATTTTTGGTGAAAAATTTCTTACAAAAGTAACTGTTACATCTTACTTTCTCTGAGGATTATTCTCTTCGTATTTGCCGGAGTTGAACTGCCACATACATTTTGCAGCGGCTCTAACGGTGTAACAGTGTTTCTGCGACGACACTTACGGCAAATTTTTCTCAAAGCATCGCGGTATCCTTTGTTTCGGTAAAAGTAGATGATAGGATTTATGGCGGAGTTTGCAAAACTAGCCGTGATAGGTGCGATGTAGCTTACTCCATAGTTTTTCTGTGGGTTAATGGCGATGTGGAAACCAAAAGATGCCCAGCATATTGTAAAGAAACCGATCACAAGTGCAATAGTCAATGCCAGTTTTTTTTCTTTTTCTCCGCCTGCAGCTTGGTGGTCTTGAAGCTCTCTTTGCCTCAGGGCGTTTTGTTTTCGAACAGTTTTGAAGATTACCGAATAACAGACAATTACAACTGAATACAAGGCAATCATGCCAACGAGAATAAAATATATGTACACAAGTTTATCCTCAACAAATGCGTCTAAGAGAGGAACAATCCAGGCCGAACACCAATGAAAACCCAAAATGGACTTTAGAAATCCTTTAGTGATTGTGGCTTTATATTTCATGGGTTTTAGAATGACAAAACATCGTTCGAAACTCATTGTGGCTAAAGTCAAAATGGAAACCGCACAAGACAAGTTTCCAATAAAGCGAGCAGCGTATTCAGCTCTAACATAACAAGTTCCGTCAAGTTTACCAACGAAGATCGAAATAGCTAGTGGCTGAGCTACCATGGTGACCATCAGATCGGCTAAAGCTAGATTCACGATGCAGAAATTTGACACAACTCGCAGGTTTGGTGTGAGTAGGACAGTTAGGCATACAAGAATGTTCCCAAAACTTCCAACCACGCTTAACAAGCAATTTACAGCGATGAAAAATGCCCCATTCATGTAAGTTAAAGTGCATCGGCCTGTATCGACCTCTAAATCAGCAAACATGATAACCGTTGTAATTTATCGCGAGTTCTCTGAAGCAATGGAAATTTTAGGTTATAACGAAATCCAGGTGATACCGTTCTTTATCAAATAGGCTGAAATATGTCATAAGTCAGATGTTCTAGGTAAAGTGTAAATTAACACAATTCCTTATATGGATGTCACGAACAAACAAAACACATGGAACGTGTTTAACTCAGGAACGTGGATAGAAACTCCTTTTTGTACGATATTACTGCATACCGTGTGTTTTATTGGCCTTCAAATTTAGAATCAGTCATGAGCACGAAGGTTGTCTGGTAGGTTACTACAGCGCAAGTGGTTCCAGTTGAACCCTTCTGGAACAAAGCCTCGCTATGCAGCCCTTTCCAAAACAGGAGATTATTGTCTCGTGCATGATTAATTAATTATTTTACCTTTCTTGTTTTAATCGATTCACAAGATTAATATAGCCATACATTTTTGATGGCGTCAGTCCTAAAGCATGACATTCCTCTCTTTTTCATTCACGTTGTTTTACCATTGCAACTGTGTGGAGAGTTTCTTTTCAGAAACTTACGAGCGTCAGGATTTTTTTCATTTTTGTGATATCATTAATCAAGAAATTGTTTCATGAATTCGGTACGCCACGACGATCGCTAATAGCAGTTTTATTGATTATCTGTGGTCGTCATTAAATATTCGTCTCTCAGTGAACTATTCACCAACAGCGCTATTGGAAGAGCGCAATCATTTTTCTCCAAGTCACCCCATGATTCTTGCTGCATTGTAGACCATTTCTGCAACGTGGACCTTATTCAAACAGCGGTGAACAATTAAACGCACCACAATAGATTAGCAGAGTTCTAATTGTTAAGCGCTTGTTATTGCTGCACTGAGGACTCCCAGGATACGAGTTGTTTGTATTTTCGCTCGCCCTACGGGCTCGTCAAAATACTGCACAACTCATAAAAATACTCTGCGATACTTCACATCAAAACTTCTAATAAGATATATGCATTGTCATTGGACATTATCTGTTTACGAAGCTCACACTTTTCCTCAAGCTTCGGTTTCGGAAACTTGTTTGCATCTTGGAACAGATCATATCCCCGGACAAATATTCGTGTATATTTTCCCGCCAAATAGAGGCTATTGTTTCTATATTGAATATGATCACAATAGAGCCCAGACCTACGACCTGTTTCGACACAGTCTTCTTACAATTCTGAGCCTTCCTTTAGCTTTGCATTGGTAAAGATTTCTCATATAAATGATATTTCAGCGATCATGCAGAGGGCCTATATGGTAGACCTCACGGAAGGTATTTAATAACTATAATCCATCCTACATCTTTTCTATGTTGCGTTCTTGGGCATGTTTCTGGGGATACACGGCTTATGCTGCTGCTAACCCCTCATTAGTAATGCACAATCTTTCTGTGAGCTAAACTGAATAGCACAATCCTGTTACTTGCTGCTAACTAAAATCCTGGCTTAGCAAGAGTTTTCTTGCTCACAAATAACTACCGGCTTTTTCATAACAGTCCTGTTATAGATTTTTGCTCGTTTTGTTAAAATAATTGAATAATTTAATAAAGGTTCGTGAAAATCTACCCAAACAAAGTTAGTGATACACCCCAAAAACTATAGATTGCTTCTTGCACCTGATATATGGGGTAACAGCAATGGTCATTGTTCTTTTGTGGCTTGAGTTCTTGGGATGGGAAATTATATATATATATTGCCATATATAGATAGGTGTATCACGAATAGTATCAGCAGATTCACTGGAGAAGTGGATATAGGAAATAAAGTGCTAATGAACAGCACTTAGTGACATGTGCACGAATTAGTATTGTTTTAAAATTTTTCGTTGCAAAAGCCGTAGACAGGAGCTCCTGGAGACCTTTCAAATCATCACATAATTGATGAGCAGTTCACGCGAATTATTGGCTAGATTCACAACAAAATCACTTACCAACGTCTCTTGTACGTCCTCCGTGCAAATTACTCGAAACACTTTCCAAAGAGTTGGATTCAGGGCTGTAATTACGGCAATATTTACCATGTACTAAAAATTGTTTTGGCTCGTACATACATAGTATTAGCAAGAGAGTATAAACTATTTACATTCTCTTAATAGTAGACAAACAGAGACAACGTAGTTTAAAGAAAGAGGCTTTACCAAAACATTTTTATTTACCTTGTGATAGAAGTTATTTGAAAGGCTACCAAGAAAACCTCGAAACATTTTTTATAAGTCTCTGTCAAGATCTGACACCTGTCAATCTGAGAGCATATATGAAAACAAAAAGCACTCGTTAACTGTTGAATGAACAACAGAGTTGGTTTGGCAAACAAACGCGAGTTAGATGACTATCACGACGTTTTTTCTTCAATAACAGTCAAAGATCTTACGGAAAGTATTAATCGCTTCCATCAACGATTAATCTACGAAGATTTGTCTCCGTCCAAAGGTACATGGAAATAAAGTCATTGTGATTAACTCAAATGAACGTTTTAAAGTTGGGCGAGTTCGTTCGTTTGTTTGCTGCAAATCTTGTCTTTCTTCCAAAAAAGAAACTGAGGTCAATTGAGGCTCTTTTTCTATACGCAAGGGGATTTAATGCAGCTTTTACTCAATGAATTCTTTCAGTTGCTGTTGTGCAATTTACAGGAAAGATGTCCAAATTCAACGGACTTGTAATGACTTACCGAAAGTGTCTTTGTAGTAGAACTCAAAACTTTGCTCAACTTTTTGCAAGGAACAAATTGTTTTAGAAAATTCAGATATCAAATGAATAAATGTCACATTGATTAATTTAATTTTAAACGAATACCTCACGTTACTAATTTATTGGTTACTTTTTGTGAAACATTATTGTATAACGAACTGCTTCGGTATTGCTTTACACAGCGTGTCAATGCAACCCATTCAGTGACAAACTTGCTATCACAAAATTCATTTCGAAACCAAATTTGCTGGCAACCAAAGTGATTTGAGAGAGCGTGAAGAGAACAACTTCTTACTTCCCTTTGCTTGCTCGAGCCGTACTGGGAAATATTGGTAATGGCAGTGCACTGCGGCGCACTGCAACGACCTCGGGTCAGTAGTCCACAGTATGGCTCGAGCAAGCAAGGTTTGTTACAAGAAATTTATCATATGGCACTCGGATCAAACTTGTTTATTATATGTATAAAAGACCTTCCGGTCACTTGTATTGGAAGGGCTTCCGCCGTGACATATTCTTGATGACACGAGCAACTCAGAAAGACCAAGCTTCCACGAGTTTGAAAACAAATTGTTTAAGCATCAAACCAGAACTGAAAGGTTTTCATCTTCAGCGCCATGTACTTGCACTTGCACTCCGCAGATGGTAGTTCTATTCTCGATTTGTCAAACTCGTTGTCCTTGGATAGGTTGAATGAATATTTCTACTCGTATAAGTATCGCTGTTTACTTCGCTGAAAACTGGAAATTGTTTCTGATACGCGCTTTTCTCCATTTTTCCTGCGGTTGTTTATAAAAAAATTGAAGAAAGGTGGTCAAGGGTTTCCTAAGAACCAATCAGAACGCTCGGTTTCACCCACGGAAGAGACCACCCTGCCGTATAATGACCCTATCGTGATTAAGTTATTTATCGGCTTGAGGTCGAGACCGAATTCTTGCTTAGAAATGCTACCATATCAGTCAAACGAAATACATTTATGAAAGATGGTAACGTAGCTGAGGATGCACTCGGCGACTCACGAAAGCGTTGCCGTGTCAGGGGATAGAGACAGGAAAATCCGGACCGCGCTATGGACCAGTCAGATTACGTTATTCGTTACCATGCTCTCTTGGAAGAAAGTAAAGGAAATTATTTATACTCCTTATTCATATGCCTTTACTCAAAACTTACAATAGGTCTAACAAACGAACGAGTACATTTTTTAATGACTTTGAAGTATATGATTGTGGGGGAGAAGTTTCTTATATGTTGAAAAATTGCAGAAGAAAATTTAAATAAAAAACCAGTGCGTAACAAACTAATAGGTAAGGAAGTTAAAGTCAAGGGCGCTGATAATAATGTCGATGCAAAACGTGCTGTGCTGAAAATAATCAAACAAGTAAAAATAAGCATTGAATAATTTTAAACTATTAATATCAAAAGAAAACAAAACTACAAAAAGAGTTAAGAGTTAAGAGAATTACAGGCAATACACACAATGAGAGACTGACTAATGTACTGAAGAGAGCAGAACAAGCTAGGCTTGAATAAAAGAGAAACTATTTACATTAACAAGGAGAAATACGAAAACGTCAACGAACAAAATTAAGTAATAAGGCAAACAACGAGAACACGAACAAGGAAACTTCGCAACCCCTGGCACCCACAAAAGACTTCTCTCAAGCTAAGGCTGGTATGCCAGTGGTTGAGTAAACTGTTACCACATTTGGCCTCAAAATGAACGAAGAAATATGGAATTGTTAACCCATTCACTTACACCTAAAATAGTAATACTTTATACGGAGATACACAAAGATGTGTACTGAAAGACCTAAGAAGGGGAACCTTCCGCAGATAACAGCTGTATCTTTCTCTCGCTCATCAAGTGTACTTTCTCGTAGAACCGAGACCGCCGATGCAAGTTCCTGTCGCCCGACTATTTGCCCCTTGGTCTCCGATGATGACAGTAATTCAACGATTCGAAATGACTACATAAAATCAGTTCACAATGTCGTGACATCGCTCTGGAAATTTAACTCAAAACTACAGTCGTACATTCCCTTTTGTATGATAGCCGAGACACTAGAACGCCCTGATTGATCGAAAGCCTTTCGGTTAAAGCAACGGTTAACCCATGATGTTGACACAATTTTGAAGTTTATTTCATAAAAGCAATTAACACTTTCAAGCGGTTTACCGGCGTAATAACCCACTTACGAAGTTTGCTCGTGATTTCAAATTTGTCTCATGTTTTCTCGCCATCCCGAATTGGTTATCACGCCAGTAAACCAATGGTAAGTGTGGTCCATTGCTTCAAAGAAACGTACAGAGGAAAAAATACTACTACAGTAAAAGCGATTGAGGAATTTTATTGCACGTTTTTAATATACAGCAATCATCAGAATACTACATAAACAATTGCTTAATTCTAAAAATATAACTAGATATGTGTACCGGCAAATAAGCCTGTTATGCTTTAATTGTACTTAGTAAAGGTACTGACCATAATGAATAGGCCTCACAATAAATCAGCAAAAATGCAAATCTGGTGGAAAAAAAGCCTCACTATATATGAAATCGTTATCTCTAAATTATTAGTCGTCTTCTTGAAAGTTAATGAAAATCATTAAAACTTAATTAAATAATTACAAGATCACTCAAAAACCAAGCAGTCTATCCTACCTGTACTTTCATCATTCACTTAACGTAAGGTAAATGATTCTTACAACTTAACTAGTTACGAGCCTATTAGTAAAATAAAAGCGGATAGGGGGAATCGCCCACACACAGTCGCACCGCACAGATCTGTCATGCGACTGAAGAGTTGCGTGACAAGTAAAAAAAGGAGTTCCTGAGAGCAATTTCTTGCGAGTACTTTCTCCTTAAGAGAGGTCTTGTACGCATGCGTTCCGCTAAACCTTCCATACCTAGACCAGTATGTTATGTTGTAACCGATACTTGATAAATCAGTCAGACAAAAAAAAAACAACCACAAAAAGCTATTAAGTCAGCACCAAAGAACAGGCCATGGTGGGATTGAAAATTCTCAAAAAAGGTGAAATTTGAAAACTTTACTACTAGAATAACATTACAAAGGATCCTTCTAGTTTGCTCTCCGAGTTAACAACCTCAAGGGTTGGCATTGCCAAAACCTTTATATGCAACCACTTGCCAAGTCACTCAAACACACTAAACACCATGTTTTGCTCAGAAAGACATAGAGGATCCATTTGTAATATTTTCCACGTAAAACTCTTCCTGATGAAGTAAAATATATTTCTTTACAATCCCTAAAATCCTACCTGTTGATCTTCATTCAAAATAGTGCATTATCATACGAGTGACCTTGTTCATTTAAGTTCACTGGTTCCAAATGGATTAAATACATTTATGTCATTTACTTTGTGCTCATTCAGAATAGAATCTCATAGTTTTCAAGTTTAAACACATACATCCAACTAATAAAACTATATAACATTTTAGAGCATAAAAAGCATGTGTTGAACTAGCTTTAAACCCAAAATATTCAAGCAGAGAAAGTTCCTTCAAAAGTTCTAGTTCAGCTGAAAAAATTGTACATGTGAAAAGTTAAAACATGGTGACTTCAGCAGCTAAAATGTGGACTACAGAGATTGTCTACATAAATTTGGTCTATCCTGTATTAACAAAGTCTTCTCAATGTTGATTACCAGAATATTTATCTGAATCAAGACCCCTCTTCTTTCATTGTGACATTAACGTCAAATGTTGTGTATGCAGATACTGTAGAGAAAGTTTACATCATTTAGTATTCTGTTATATGCACATGTACTACAACCATTTTGTCAATCAAAAGTGGTGCTCATAGGTACACAAAGGAGACTAACAATGTCAGGTTCAGCATCTTCACCAGACAAGAGGTCCATGGTGGTGCACTACTAAAAATGTACTCAGATGTACATTTGTAAATTTGGGTTTACTTCAACTGATCAGTAAAAGTTATTAACATCCCCATCTTCCTTCGATTAGCAAACATTTAAATTTACAAATTTACATGTGTTCATGGCTACGAATACCAGTAGAGAATCTTAGATCAATTTGAGGGAAAATTAATTTAGACATTGAGTGACAAGAGAATTCAAGTACAATCATTTGCCTAGCTATTGTGCACTGTGAGGAAAAGATGAATGCTCACAATGGCAATTGAATTGAGAGAAAATAAAAGGTAGACACCAGAGATGAAATTATTGGCAAACTCTAACAAGGTGACAAGATCACAGTGGTAATACTACGCAAAATGTAACCAAAGTGCTTTAACTGTTTATGTACTTTGGTATTTTGAGGTGCCTTTGAAGTGATTACAAGAACTTTAACTTTCCTGGTGTTCCTAAAAAGCAACTTATGTTAATGCTAAAAACATGGCTAACTAAAATACCTACAGATACATCATGTCACATTGAGAAACAAACAAATTAAAATGGTTGAAGAGAAAAGAACTCCCTTCAGAAAATGAATGCTACATTTATGGTTCTCAGTAAATTCCAAACTTCCCTCAGGTTTTGTTAACAGCAACAAAATGTATTATAAAGTCTGTCCTGGCTAGAAAAATACAGTTTGTATGAGTTATCACAGAAAGCAGTTCTTTTTGTATTACCAGGAGCTGTTGTACATGCATGGAAATTATCAGAATACTGAGAACCCTGCACTTCCCATTCATTTACAAGTTTAGCACCACAACTCAAAGCCACCACCCTCTCCCTGCTGTCCTCCTTTCTGGGAAGCTATCTCACTGTATTCTGTGGCTGAGTATGGGGGAGGCTGCTTGTAAGATGCAGGTGAGTTGCCAAAGGCAGGCTCCATATAGTTTGGTCCTTTTCGTTGTTCATCCTAGAGAAAGCAAAATACCCGTCTATTTTTCCTCTTTCTTGGAATTGATCAATTACTTCATTTAGGTCAAATAAATATAAACAAATTCTCAGAGTAGGAAAAGCAACAATTTTTGGAAAGGCAAATTAAGGAAATACTAGTAAATATGATTGTCACAATAAAATATAAACAAATTCTCAGGGTAGGAAAAGGAACAATTTTTGGAAAGGCAAATTACGCAAGTACTAGTAAATATGATTGTCACAATATGATAGGAATTAAGTGGGTAGCCACAATGTACTGCTGCTCCTAAGCAGGCTCATAGACAAAAATGGCAAAAATGTCAGGGCAGGTTCCATGACAGAGAAATGACTTTACATCAAATTCTGGTGAGTCATGACACATTATGTCATTACATGTGTATGAACAGCAGAAGCTAATGATATGAACAATGTATGCTGCAGGTTCAACTCATGATCTTACTGGAACTCTTTACATAAGAAGAGTAAATTCATCTACCAACTTCAAGTTACTACCAAACTGCAACCACTCCCAATTTGTTTGACTGTTAAACTCCTTGATTCTTTATGTACAAACTACCACTTATCTACACTGTATGTACTTATAACAAAGGGAGATGTGCAGTACATATCGATACCGAAAAGTCCCTCATGCTGTCAAGACTTTCCGGAATATGGAGGGGACATTATAATATTGACATAATAAAAAAAAACCTTGCATATTAAAAATAATTGGTGTTTACTTCTTGATAACACTGAGGAATGAAAACACATCATAGCAACACTCAGGAACATGACAAAGAAAAGTGGTGCGACTGCAATACTAAGATTTGTGCCCATTCCACAATTTGGTTATTTTCATAGTACAAGTTAAGAGAAGTTTTTAAGGTCACTTTGTTGATACTGGGGTACACAACCTATACTTGGGAATGTACTTTAGTATGGTAAACCCTGAAATACTAATACATACGTGACATATGGGAGTAAACTACATTGGTATGGGAAACACACAAAGCAGTTATGTAATTTCATAAAATTGGTACCTGTCTCATTGCAGAAGAAACTGGGGCATACTGCCTGGCCTCAACATATGCTGGACTGGCTGTACCAAGTCCTGAAGGAGGCTGCTTGTTCCTAAAACCAGACAATTCACCCTTACATTATGTCATTGTGAGGAAACAAGCTCGTGATTAAAGAAATAGGGCAAAACACCTGAAGGCTAGGTCACCAAATTTTTGTTATTGAAGTACACAAGAATTGAATACTAGATAGTCTCAGAGGTTAACATTGTGGTGCTTTTCATTCACAAAGGAGTTTGGTTAGCTTGTGAGCATGGTGGCCTATGCAGTTGGATCTTAACTAAGTTTCTTTGGCTTGTGAGAACTAATTGTATGGCTGCTGCCACTATAAGTCTACCCCTGGCCACCCCTCTCGTCTCCTTAAAAAACCTAAAAAAATGAAACAAAAACAAGAAATATTCTCAAGTCCCCCTGGTACTTTGCAAGACCCACTAATATTCCTGGTATGGCCAGTGTCTAAACTAAGAACACAAAGAAAAGAGCAGCCAGGGTTCTGGCCATTGCTGCCAAGTGACAAAACACAAGTGTATACTGTACTTACATGCGGTAACCATCAGCTTCACTGTATTGGTTCCTACCACCTTGAATTCATAAAAGAAAAAAAATTAAAAATTTTGTGGTTCAATCAAGTGACCTTAGTAACAGTAGAGGTAATATAGGATACAGGAAGAGGATGTACAGCATTGGCGCATGTTGTGGTTTGATGTTTTTTTTTTTTTAAATTCAACTGCCCTCTAGATTTTTGTCAGAAAACAAACATATTGTTTTGCTAACCTTTTGAAGCACCACCACTTTTCTTTTTCCTACAGCAAATGCAGGACACCACAATAATGATGACGACAACAAGAAAAAATGCAATGCATCCTCCTATGATACCCCACAATTCACTTTGTGTCAATTTTGAGGTGCGAGCACCATCTGCAGGCTCTCCTGGTTTCTCTGACGTTGTTGAAGAAGAGAAGGTAGGTGGCAGAGTAGCTGAAGAGAGAACATTTTATCTTATCAAAACCGAAACCATTTTGTTATAAACTGCACATTGTACACAATGCAACACAAACCAGCAATAAAAGATTAAAGACAACTGTGGGTGGTCTCACCAGACTACCCCCGGCCTATGAAAGATCATATGAAAAATATGACAAAAACTAGGCTTCAACTACTATTAGGCAACATGTACATGTAGATGTCCAATAATATTATGGCTGATATCATAGCCTTACACATCTGATCATTATTCTACTGTATCTTTTAAATAGAAATAATCATTACTTAAAGTACCTGAACATGGCCCCTGGGGTAATTACTAATGAATTTACTCATAGTAATGAGGCAATGATGATCAGTTATAGTTACAGTAATTGTAACAGTAACTGAATACTAGTTGTTTTGAAGTTAGTCATTGTTACCTATGATCTGTGAGAGTACAGAAACAGCTGACTTTGATTGAGAAAACCATGTCCTCTACATATGTGTAACTAACACTTCCCACAAAGTTTTTGCAATTCAGAGCTGTTCACAAGCAAGGGTAAAGGACAAAAAAGAAGAGTTAACTCTGACTTAAGAAGTAGAAGTACTTTAACCTCATTTCAACCAGAGCTAATCTTCAAACAATACAGGCTTCAGAGTAAGTTTGTAACTTTCTGTAATCATGGCAAAATGGAATCTACTTGTCAGGTGGACCAGGCCTTACTTGGATTCAAATCAAGTTCCCTTTTAACGCTGAATGCCCCAAGCCTTCCATCTTTGATTTCATCTTCCAGTGGTTTCAAAGGGTCAGTGACAGATTTACCAAACTCCATCTCTACTTTAGCAATGACACTACCAGATCTATTAGTAAAAAAGAGAAACATGCTGATCAAAGCTGTTTGCACAATGACAGGTGGTTGATACTTTTTCATCTCCTCCATGACATCATTCCACCAAATTTCAATTCCTTAAATCTAACATTATTAAATGTCAAATAATTATTGTTTGTATACAAATCAATGCATTGTAAACAGTAAACTTCAACTAATTCCTGAACTAACCATGGAGTTTGTGATGCAAACTAAATTGTGCATTTGTCTTCTTCAAAAACAAATGCTATCACAATATGAATACCTTGAGCACTCTAAAATTGACAGTTACCTGAAATCAACAACACCCACTGTGTACAATTCTTTTCCAGGACTTTTGGTGTAAACCTTAGATATCTTAAACACAAGGAAGAGAGTTATGTCATTTTACATGGAATAAAAATGCCAAAATGCACTATTCAAAAGTATATACATGTAAAGCGCATGCAGAACACAAAAATTTCAGTAGTCTGTGTGTCTGAAAGAGCAATTTTGGTTTGCTTCACTGGTGTAAAATTTACATCATCATATTTCTAGTACAGGTACATGTATGTGTAGATGCACCATTGTTGGTGCTGGAAAAAAAAATTCATAGTCACATTGACTAATCCTCTCTCCCAAACTAAATTTGGAATAAGTTCAAGGCTATTATAATCTGATCTCCTAGTTCAGAATCATAAATAAAGTATAAAGTACATAAGGTAAACAAAATGTACCTACAATATATACTTAGTACTGGTAAATTCATATTGAATTTTCCTCTAAAGAAAAGCGAAAAAAGGAAACAGTGGCACAAATATGCACATGCATTTTTAAGTTGTTTGTATTCAAGGAAAACTCTTCAATGAATGTTCAATGAGGTGCAGGATAATGAAAGCAATTTCTCCAATTATTTTTACAAATATTTTTCCTTGGTAGTCATCTTAAATGGATGAAAAGGCAGCTAAGTCAGTCCAAGCAGTATTTGACAAGAGGAATTACAGGGTATCTGTACTCAAACATCAAAAATTTGCAAATTATCACTGTATGACAAACATAAAACATGTGTACTGGTAAACATACATGTAAAAAAAAAATTCTTGACCTTCCATGGTCACCCATTGTATTTAACCCTACAAAATACTTACTTCTGATAACAAATTTGCTTGCAATGTTTTGAACTCAATTGACTCTCTGTTATTCAAAGCTGACTTCCAAGTTTCACTCTCTAATTTTATTCCAACTGTCTTAATTTCACATTCATTACTTTTGGTACCTTTGGTGTATAAAAAAAGAGAGAGAAAATAAACAATAATTTAAGGTTACTCCAAAACTATATCTATGCAGGACTATTTTTTCCTACTTCAATTTTTTCAAATTAAGTCAAATAATTAATCTTTCATCATCCAAAAGTTCACTTCAGATCTTGAAATGCATGGGGAAAAGGGTACTTTTATATTTTAGGAAAATGATAAACTATCAAGTTGTCATGATCTCTGGAAGGCTTGTACTCAAAAACCTTTCAAGGTAAAAAGCTTCAAGCAGGTGATCATATTTCATCTTAGCTTTGTTTCCACTTGAGATTGAAAGCAATAGCTTTCAAAATACAGTGTAGAAAAGTCCATTTTATCATGAAACAAAGCCAAATACATACCACATTTACAACTTAACTGGTGATTGTTCACATGCAGGAAAATGTTTCAAGTGGAGGAATGTCTTTGCTTAATGGTTACCATTGAACCAAACCTTTTTATCAAAACTTGGCACCCAAATGAAAAAAAAATCACTTTGAACCCTCTTAAGGTGGGTACATACACTATTGCTACATGTGATGGGAAAGCCTCAGTTCCCACTTTTAAAAAAATTGTTACATGGAAACAGACACCTCAATCATCTGTATTACATTCCCATCTTATCACACAAATGTAAAAGAAATCTAAACTGTAAAGAAGTCCAAAAATTAAACAAATGAAAACAGAAATGAACCACTAATTATAAACATTTTAGAGGGGAAAACAGGAAGGAAAACACATTTTCTATGTTGTGCTAAATCCATTCCATTGTTGTAAATCAGGCATGAATCAAAATACATGTACATGTTCTTGTTAAGTTGGTTCTGTAACAATGTATAGCTTGAAAAACTTTTCAATTGCACTAACAGCTTTGATAATACAGGACAGACAACTTACATTTTACACCAACTATACTGGCATTAGAGGCATCGACTCCATATCCATTACTAGCTGTACATCGGTATGATCCTACATCCTTCAACTTCACGTCAGTCAAATGAAGCTTGTAACCTGTCACATTAAACTCTTCAGCTGGGATTCCATCTTTTGTCCATGTAATCTTTGGCAAAGGATCACCAGATGCATTGCAGGTCAGAGTGTAGTTTTTTCCAATGGTAAGAAAAGGTCTTGGTTCTGGTGGGTCAGTTATTTCTGGAGGCACTGGAAATAACAATTTAAGATATGCATTTAGATTGTGTGAAATTATCACAACTATTACATGGTATAGAATGTTACATACACATCTAAGAAACTGCCACATCAAAGGCAGTGTGATTATCGAGAGAATGTTGTAAATAAAAATGGGGAGACAAGAGATCAGCCATCTAATAACTACTGAGGAAAATACTTGTAAATAATAATATTAGTAATGCTAACATTTATTCATACTGATACCTGCATACACATATTACATTGTTTAGTGAGAGATGCACGGAACAAAGTCTGTAATCAAGCCCTTGATGGATCAATGTACTGTAAACTTGAAAAAGACAATTTACCCTTGCAGTGCCTCTCTCTGGCCAAGAGTGTAAATAAGTAACAGCACATGGTCAAGAGAAACCTGAAAAATACTGGGGCTAATCCTACAACCCAGTAGCATCCTCTCCCTGGGGTTGTCAAGTTTCTTTGAAAATTCAGGTCACTAAAACCCCATGAACAATCCCTCAGGAAAAGCTCTAAATACTGTCAGTAAATATGCATGACCTTCCAAGCAATCATTAATTGAAACGCAATTTCTCCACGAAAAAAACGTTTCACGCAGCATTCTGAGTAGGACTGGGGGAGTTACGATGGGTTAAACATGATGTGATTTAATCAACTTACTACATCATGAGGAAAACGCAGCCTGCTACTACCTACTACTAGACCGGCAGGAACTCCCTACGATACAGAGGTCCTGTTATTTGGAATTTTGTAAATAGATTAGTTAAAGTACCTGAAAGTTTTTATTCTTTTAAACAAATTTTACGTAAACATGTTAAGACTATTGACAATTTTTCATTTGAGAAAGAGGCAACAGTAGTTGCCAACAGAAAGGACCATTTCATTTACTTTTAGATTTATATGTTAGTCTTAGTGAACACCATTTTATTTGTATATAGTAGTTCTAAGTTATTATTGCAATTTTTATATATATGTAATTCTTAATATTTAGTATAGTAGGTCCACATCAGCCCTTTGGCTGCCTTTCACACAACCTACTTATCAAATAAAGAATGTATGTATGTATGTATGTAACGCAAATTTCAATAAACAAAAGACATTCATATTTTTCGAGTCAACGGTTGCGTACCTCCAAGCGATGAAAAGCGCTCAGTGCTTGTGATTTTTAATGACCTCACAAGTCGATAAATACTTGAATGTTGTAAGCAGTAAATGAGCCGTTCAGATGTAAATATTCAACGAGGATGACTCATACAAAAACTGGCATATGTGGGAGTAATGAACAATACAGACCGGTCGGCTGTTAATATTTAGCAATGATGATTTCGAGAGTCGTCACTCGTTCTCTGTCGAAAGTGTGGTCAGAATACCTTAGTGAACATAACAGCATCAAAATCACGCTGAATGGTTATCAAGAAATTTTTTCCTCGTGAAAGTTGTTGCAAAAGCAAGAACAAAATCGTGCACGTACACTTTACATGTATATTGGTTGCACAATTCACATTTACATAACCCAAGTGTGAGCTTAACTACTATTCATCATCGAAGAAATACAACTTCAAGCAGCAAAAAAAGAAAAAACAAAATTAAACATAACAATCAATTCACAGGAATACCAGTCATTCCTAGTGTCACATGAAAGAATGACTACGACGATCGCGGCTGAAAGGTAACAAGCCGTTTGAAATACTGAAAGTTTGAAAACTGTGTCGTTAAACGGAGCAGTGATTTGACTCACTTGACACATTTATAAAATAAACTTGTCATTCCCTGCAACAAAAGTTCTGATAAAAGTGATTTCACGCAAAGAGATAGAGAGGTTTATATATAAAGTTTGCGTCAAGATCTTTCCGAAATTGGTACGTTACCATAATACACAACTGAGTTGTTGACAGTAATTAAAACACACGAAATGTATCACAAGACAAAGTGTTCTAAAGCAACTCATCACTTACCGACCACAATAATAGAGACTTCGTGCGAACCTTGCGATTGGAGTTTAGTATCCAGCAAAAAAATAGTGTAGGTGTATTCCTCATTTCTCTTCACGTTCTTCAGTTTTAGTGTTGCTTCCAGAGAGGCTTCGAATTCCTTTGTGCTGCTCGGCTCGAACGCATTTCCATCTTTGCTTGATGATATTGTTTCAATTGTTTCACGAGGTTTCTTTCTGAGAAACTGAACGAAATAGTTAGGCGGTGCATCAGAATACTGCCACTTAAGACTGACTAGGCTGCTGTTTACTCCAAGCACCACAATAGTAGGATTGGAAGGTTTTTGGCTGATTCTGAATGACTCTGAAGAAGGAAAACAGACAAAGTTGAGCTAAATTTCGACACATCACACGTAACTATAATAACCTTGAAGATCATCTTTCATAAAATTTGAAGAAGGGTTTCGGTATGTCAAATTATTTTTAGAGCAGTTTAGAGCTTTATCTCAAATGGCAAACTAAAGTAACATCTCGATATTCTTGACTCGATAAACATTACCTGACTTCTGAATTATGTAGCAGAGTAAAAGGGTTGCCAAAACCCATCGAAAAACGCCAGTAAGAAAAAGATCCATTATCCTTTCACAAGCCTATTCCCCTTACGAAATTCAACTGAAGAAACATTCAAGGAACGTTCGTTGTATTTTTGATGAATGATATCACGGGACGCCAACGCCAAGCGGAAACCTTTAATCGAGCCCAGTCTTCCGCCGGATTAAGGTGTTCAAAGAGTCTAAGCCCGACTCACCGAGAGAGAGATTCGCATTATTGTGCAAACAACGAGCCAAAATGCAGCAATGGATATCTGCTTGACATCTACCCGTTTGTCCTCGTCTACCGAATAGGAAGCTATTTTTTTTGCGTGAAACAGACGAAGGTGTTGGCGCTGAAGAATACAATTAAAGATCCCTATAGGTCAGCCGTGAGTGGAAAGAGGATTGAAGCAGAGAGACAAATGATAGAAATTGAGTCCTCGAGCCCTTACGTACTTTCGTCCTGCTTGAAAGTTTCACAGTACTTTTCGTTATTTCCAATTTCACAACAATGCGACGGCTTTTTCAACCGCCTTAATATCGGAAAAAAGAAATGTTATACGATGTCACGCAACCAGCGACAATCTCCCCCCCCCCCCCCCTCTCATAAAAAGGAAAAAAAATATGAAATTTTTTTAAAAAACAACAACTCGTCAAGAGACTCCACGGTAAGCGAGGTCTATTTCCAAGTTCATATGACACGCGTCCTGCATACTGCTAAGATCATATGTCCCATTGTTTCTCTTGTATACCAATAAAACATTGTTTCAGTCCACAATATCAGATCTATTAGCGTTGCTGTAGATTTGAATTAAAATTAAGCTTCGTCAAAACTGTAAAGGTCAGGAGTTGCTAAAATTCACTTTAAAATTAAAGTCGCATGATATATTGTGGTTCTTTCTCATTCTCTATTACTTATTTTGAATTATTTTTGACAAAAAATTGCATTCTCGCGCTCTCGTGGCTCCTCTCGGAAACCACAACCGATTTAAGGTCTCAATGGCCAATATATACTCACCTTTTCAGACCAGGTCGGCTCAAAAAACCATAACGGTAGTGGCATCATCGTCTACAGGGTAACACACCTCTTTCCACCCTCAAGAACCATATAAGAAATACTGACTAATTCATCCATTCCGTTATTCATTATTCAATTTAATCTGAAAATTTTCTTAAAGTAAAATTTCAAGTGGAGTGTTTAAGTTATTTAGACCACCAAATGGATTCAAAGGGAAAAGGCAACTTCATTTTGAAACCGTGAAAGAGAAACGAAACGAACCCCAACATCTTGAAGTTTCTGTTCCCAGTAACATATGAAAAATATCCTAGCCTTTGACAAACTTTGAACCGTTTTCATTGTCTAATTTTTTTTTATTGTCCAATTATCCAAGCCCAATTTTAGGATTGATTATTAACTGTCTGGCTGGTGTGCACTGAAGAAAATAGTTCTCATGTAAGACGCAGTCGATAGTGGAGGCTATTCGCTCAGTTCAAGGCCCCGGATTCTTCCAACAAAGGCAACGTTGAACTACCTGAATTGTTACCTAAGGCTATAGCTAAGTTAATCGATACCTACATAGACATCTTACAAATGCCTCTAAGTTCAAGCTCGGTTCTCAACTTGGACAACAGACTACCATATCCCCTGAACCCTTAGGTGACTGCACTCTTTGTTTCGTTTTCCTCATTTTTAAACCAGACTATCTTACCTTAAATACTGAAAGGATATTTCCCCATCTTCTTTCAAATTGAAAGCTTTCCTAAAAATACTCGAGATTTTCTTTGAAGTTGCTGCCTTGTTTCACGTATGATTTAAAGTCAGGATTAACTCTGCCAATTTGGCTCTTCGCGCTCCTCGTCGGAAATGGCCAGTAAGTCACCCTCCTCATATGACACGCATATTACATCTTTGGCAACAATTTTCCACTCTCCTTGTGCTGACCTTGTTGAGGAAGCTCGTATTCGCTAAGGCGCTAATTTTTCACAATCGCTTCACGGTTTTGCCTTGAGCCATGAAGAAAGGAAGATAGCAATGGACACTGGCAGCAGCTGATCTCTCATCAGAAAGTAAATTATGATCGTCCTAAAAACAATTGCAAAACAGAGAAAATCACAATCCATCAATAAATAATCAAACCTCATGATAGGAAAATGTATTTACAGCTTAGAAGCACAAAAATATTTCCAAAACAACACCGTCATCCCAACAGACCATATCAAGTATGTTCCTAAGCCTTACTTTCTGTTGAAAATTAATTGCTATCACAACATTTCCTAAAACAAGACACAATAATATTTCATGGCACTATTTCCGCACAGCCTGTACTTCATTATGCATACTGTTTTAGATAAAGAAAATAATCGCAAAAGCAATAGATTGCCCTTGGGACAACGGATCTGTTTTAGAACGGATGAGGCTATATGGAAATCTTCCCAATTTCCCTTGACACATACCTGTTTCTGAAAATTTCTCTAAAAGAGCATTTAACACAGCACTTGAAATTCTTTCAACAATTTCATCCACGTTGGATGAGGCTATGTGAAAATGGAAGACCGCAAGTAACTATATGAAATGAACAGGTAGATGGTCCACGTGGCTACGTAATAAGACCAACTAAAGTAAGTAACCAGTTCTGTTAAATGACCATTTTTACACTTAAGATAACAAACATCTATCAAGTATGTGATTCGTCAATAACCTCTTTCATCCATAGGGTATTTATTGAATAAGCAGTGAAAATCTTTTGGTTATTCATAAAATAACCTGTTTTTCCAATTTAATCCTTTTGGTTATTTAGCAAATAACCGAATTTATGCTTTTGGTTACTTGTTAAAAAATCAATTTCGCAATCTGGTTATTTGGCCATTGACCACATTTATTTTTTGGTTATTTGACTGATAACCAATTATGCATTTTGATTACTTACCCAATAAACGAACTTATGCTTTTGGTCATTTGTTTAATAACCAATTTTGCAATTTGGTCATTTAGCAAATAAATACATTTAGGTATTTGGTTATTTGTTAAATAAGCCATTTCCCAATTTGCTTAGGTTATTCACAAATAACCAATTTCGCATCTATAAACAAGAAAACTGAGAGAGACATTTGGTATCTAATATTTAACAACTGAAAAGTTAGTTGATTGGAAAATATACAAGGTTACTCCTCACTTTTGGCCGAGACTTTTGTGAAGGGGAAAGCTGGAAAATATGCAATCATTAGACATATTTGCATGGTACATAGGGTGACAAAATATTAAACTACGAGATCCAGTGATATACATAAACTTATTTCTCAGGGCCTTTCAAAAAGGTTGTTTTCAAGTCAAATTGAGAATCAATAATTTAAATAGCTAAAGATTTGAAAGGAAACGGATTCCCTCTCACCTGAGGCCGTACTACTTGTTAAGGGAACGACTTAATAGAGAGTTTTGAAATATTAAGGCATAATTTTACATGTTGTAAAAGGAAACCTTTTTAGCTATCAATAATTAAATTTACCAGTTGATAACCACTTATATCATCAAAGGAAATTAGGCACGCCATTTTTAAAAGCTAAAAAGTTCGTTACTTTCAAAATAATAAGGCTGTCTCTCACTTGTGGACGTAACGTTTGTAAAGCGGACAGCTGGAAAAGGATTAAGCAATCAGTAGGCATGTTTAATAGGCACAAAGGATAACGAATTATCAAATTACGAGATTAGAATTTCTTGAAATAATAACAACTTCAACTAAGTAGACAATTTTGATAAAGCTAGTTTAACTTAGAAAACAGAAAACAATAAACGAGTTTGTATTGTACATTTGCAGCACACTATGTTAAGGGTACATAAACATATACCTAACCAATTATTGGCCTGTTCAATAAATAGAAATAACAGAAGCTCTCTTAGGCGAATACTTGTTTCATTTTTTTTGTCGGAAGTTGAATTAGCTCTCCTGCAAACTCAGCTAACGTGCAAGTGATCTGTGCATTCAGTCTGATAAATATGTAGGCAATTAAAATCTGCATGGTAAGCAGGACCTCACATGAGCAGTTATGGATTCGAATTGTTGACGATGTTTCTCTTGAGTAGCGAAGCCAAACATCAATAGATATTATTACCAATGAAAGATAAAATTTGCATTTTCGCGCAGTGCGTGAAAGTAACACTAAAAACTTACTCGACAATAAAGAACAAAATTATTTGCAAACGCTTTTGGAAAAAGTTAAGCGAAAGAAAAATTGAAAATCGACGATTAAATCACTAAGAGTTCATTGACTTGAAAATAAATGGGGTTTTGTCTCTCACCTGTGGTTGTGAAGTTTGTAAAGGGAACCAGATCTGGAAAAGAGTAAGCAATGATTAAAAATATTTGTATGGAAACAAAAAAGATATTTAACTGCGAGATTAGTTTTTCTTGAAGTAAAAAAATTCGGCATGAGACAAAAAAAATGTGTTTAAGATACTTTTATCATAGAAAACAGAGAAAAAAAGGTTGTCTCGCACCTTTACCCTACTCTTTTGAAGGGTAGATATGAAAAAGAATATTGAATAAACATGAATCGGCATTTTAGAGAGAAAGTAACACGGTTAATGATTTATCTTAGAGATATCGATGAAATATCAGAATTTCTCTTGTTGTGAATACAAGATCGGCTTCACCGCTTGCAGTAAAAGTATCACTGATATCGTCACGTGTGAGGCTACCAATTTCGTCATGATAACCATCATGATAACTTTTGAACATTTTTTCCTCGAAACATTACAAAGATTTATCTAAATTTTTCTTTGGAAGAATATTTTTCGCATGACACCTTGTTAAATTTATTGCACCGGAAGTCAGAGTAGCACTTCTGTAACCTCAGTGAACAAGCAAGTGAATTCCAGTCAGACATAAATGTGGGTCACAGTTATCTACATTAACTCAGTCTATGCCGGTCCCAAACCTGGATGTGGAAGGAGGAGGGTTATGTGAGGTACACATCCTTGAAATAAGTGAAGCCTGATGGAGAAGAACAGGGAAAGGGAAACTAGTTTTAGGCATCACTATACTCTATTTAGGCAGAGAAGATGACTAGCACATGGAAGCAGTCGCCATGATCTTAAGTAGCAATGTGGAAAAACACTCACTGAATGCCAGAAAATATGACTAAGAT